TGACTTTGTGTTCTCAATCTCAATTTGATCGCTACATGACGAGCAACATCACCGGCTTGGGCTATCACGTTTGACAATGCAATTGACAACTTGGCGTCGATGGACTGATACCGTTGCCCCCCACTGTCATTCAACAGCTCGATGTCAGGATTTGGTCGAATAGCCGGCTGTAGCCATGCTTCCCATGCGGCTTTATCCCCGTCATTTGCCGAAAGAACAACACTCTTGATGAGATCTGATTGCCAAACCCCAAGATTCTGTTGCTTTGGCCATGGGCTAACATAGACTTTGTCAGCCTCTCGTCTTGACATTCTCGGTACTTCTTCCGCAGTGTAAGCCGCTGTGGAGACATCATCTGCTGAATCGCGTTGTGATCCTCGAACTGAAGGCAAACCAGGAGGTTCAGGAGGTGGTCCTGGACCGTTAGGCCCAAAAGGGTCCGGAGGTCCATCAGGGTCAGGCGGACCGCCCCATCCACTCGGTGGCTTGTAATAGTCCCTCTCAGTTCCGCCAGCGATCTTGTTGTCAACCTCTTTCAGCAGATCAGCGATTCTTTTGCTTGATTGAGAATGCTGTTGTTGTTGAGGAGGTACAGCATGCCCACGATAGGAATGAGCCACATTTGTCTCATAAGTCAACTCCTTGTCGATCTGCGAAACCCAAGATTTCAGAATAGCGTTTTCACAGTTAGCCTCACTCACGTCATTCTCCAGTTTGTCGATGACCAGTCTGGATGCGAGATCGGAGTTGGGAATGCCTGCCGAATAGGGAAGTGGGTCAGGACTGATCCTAGCCATAGATGTTTCAGAATCCTTGAGACTTTTTCTCAGTTCATCTAAGTGACGTTTCATGTCAACAATCTCAGAATTCTTGATGCCAATCTTTTAATCCCTATCCTGGATTTCCCCCATGAACATGCATGATCTCTCATATTGTTGAACACCACTCGCCAATTTCAATTTTCGCTCACTCTCTAGTTCAGATCTTAGAGTTCGGACCTCAGCATTGGTGAGGGACGACGCCCCTACATCCGCAACTTCAGCCAACCTTTCTTTTAACAACAAGTTCTCTTGTAAACATTCATGAACTTCATGGTCTAGATCCTGAACCCTGATTTGAGCGATCTTAGCTTGATTACGTAGATCTTCAACAAGCATCTCTTCGGGGCCACGACCGTCGGTCGTAGAACCCTGAGTCAACGATCTTCGTAACTTCGTGTTCTGCAACTTGATCTCATCCTTCAATTCGCAGTTCATCTTCTGCTCGTTGGCATAGGGCTCCTCATAGTGCTCTGCCCTTGCGATCGAGTTTGCACTAGCCTGTGATTCAAGTCTCAGGTGAGATATTGCTTCGGCCTCTTGGTTCCTGTATGATGCAATTCTTCTGACGGTATCATGTTCAGTGTTTCGATGCTTCAGATCACTTTCCAATTTGGCCTGATTTGCCTCGAACATCTTCTTCCTAGATTCTCTAGTGATCTCATCAATACTGCTCTCATACAGCTCGGCCTGTTTACGAGACTGAACCAAAGCTTCACTCAATAGCTGATTTCGCTCAGATAATTCATGAACTGCAATTGATTGTTATTGGCTAATCACTTCAAGTTGATTACTAGAGAAGGATGCCATTTCAGATCGATTACGATATTCCGTGATTGAGTTCTGGAAATCATTTTGCATCTCTTGACCTTCATTGTATGGTCGATTGGCAATATCGGTGGTTAAGACATTGGTTTGATGAAGTTGTTGTAGTCTTGCCTCCGTATTACCCAGTAGTCCTTGAAGGTGATGTACTTCATCCTTGTACTCCTCCTGGATCTCCATACCACGTTGATGGATCCGTCGTGCACCATGTTCCATTAGGGCACCTCGGCGTTCAAGGTCTTGGATGCGTATTGTTGCACCTTCGTCTTCCTGAGATGCTACCATTAGTTCTGCTTGATATTCTGCAACCTCATTTGCGGAACATGACAATCTATGATTGAGTGCATTGACCTCATCAAATACATTCTGATTGTGTTCCCGAAGATACTCAGTGAATCTGATCTCGATGTCATGAATCAGTTGATCCCTGGATGCAGCGTATGCTTCCATGTTGTTCAGCTGATTACGTAGGGATTGACATTGTGCCCGTAGTTCCTCTATCATGGCAAAAGGTTCACTAGCCACAGAAATATCCGTTGATCTCCTCTTAACACGACTATCCCCGGTCCTCTCACCAATTCGGTCGGTCACGGCCCTGGTGGATCTGTCCCTTGGAGTAGTACGTCCTCGAGATGGTCGATGCCCTTGGCGGACAACATCACTCCGAGCACTGTTTCGAGAAGATCTAGGTGTACTTTGGGTGGATATTCTTCGTCTGTTTGATGTGACTTGCCATCCGGACTGTGTAGTTCGGGTAGGGCGTATCCCGCCACTGTCTGCCGTGTCGCCAGGGGAAGATTGATTGACCTCCTCGACCGGCATAGCAGCGTTCTCATTGAAGGTTAAACTGCGTGGTGCGCGAATCTCCGCTGCCGCCTTGCATCTTTGCGATGATGAGCTGATTGGTCCTTTGCGTCCTCAATCAATTGCTCAGACGGCCCGGCTACCAGCACGCAGGTACCACTCTCCCGGCGGGAGAAGTGAGCCCTACGGCTGATAACCTGTGAACAAATGGATCCTTGTTCTGGATGTAGTTATTGAGCTGTGATACCCGTTATGCTGGTAGCTTTGGACAGCGTTACGGCGTTGCAAGCGGAGCTCGGACTTTTCCTCGCGCAGGGACTTGAGCCAGTATGGCGTTTCAATGCACAATCACATATGTACATGATAAGTGTCCTAGCGTTTAGTTCCCTTTGACATGATAGATATGATAGATATGATAGATATGATAGATTAGTTAGATAGATAGATAGATAGATAGATAGAAATAGATAGAAATAGATAGATAGAGGGAGAAATAGATAGATAGAGGGAGAAATAGATGGATAGATGGAGAAATAGATGGATAGATGGATAGATGGATAGATGGATAGATGGATAGATGGATAGATGGATAGATGGATAAATGGATAGATGGATAGATGGATAGATGGATAGATGGATAGATGGATAGATGGATAGATGGATAGATGGATAGATGGATAGATGGATAGATGGATAGATAGATAGATAGATAGATGGATAGATGGATAGATGGATAGATGGATAGATGGATAGATGGATAGATGGATGGATGGATGGATGGATAGATAGATAGATAGATATGATAGATAGATAGACAGGTAGACAAGAGTGAGAGAGATCAATCGCCTTTCAGTCCAGCAGTGGCTTCGCTCTGCCATCTCTGATTCACAACAACCAATCTCTCCTATAGGTTTCCTATTTTTGAAACTTCCGCCACCGCCTTGTGCGGTACTACTGGTATATCATGTACGATTTTTGAAACTACTGCAACGCAGTCCGTCGCAACGTTCTTGCTACGACATTGTTCATCGCGGTTGTTAGGGTGAACGAAACAAAGTTCTTGAGCAATCTGACATTGTCGAGTTTCAGTGCGGGTCTTGACTTCGGTTGGGGTGGGGATGTATGTAAACGTGGTGGATGAAAGTGCATGTGCGGCTGTTGGCGTTTCCTTGTAGTCCGCCTATGTTGCAAACCCGGCTTTAGAGGCGGACCTGGGGGGAATCGAAGGGTGGGGGGGGGGCCCCCCCCCCTTGAAAGGCGGACCGAGACATAACCGGCCCAAACTCTTGCACTTGCACCGCTCGCCCCCTAATACTTGCTACGCAAGGGGGAACTCAGGTAGCTCACCGCTACCTTTCGAGACATGGGTTATTTTCAGGGTCTATGTTAATTTACCAGAGGGTATAAGTCGACTTGTCTATCTAGGCGGCCTCACCTTGTAACAAAACCCGCTGCCGGTTAAAATCAACCACCAGGTTTTTGTTGCAGCCCAGTTGCCGATATGATGCCCAAGAGTCTGGAGAAGTAGCTGCATGGCGTCAGATTCGAGTGATGTGTTTTTCCAACCAAATTCGTTTTCAAGGATTATTTCCGTGTTTGAGATGCCTTTCCAGCCTCAATCTTCCAAACAGGCTTATTTCTCCATTTCACCATCTGGTTATGACTAACAGTTCGCCATGGAAAGATCCACCATTTTAAAATTCGGTAAACCATCTATTTCGAACTGGGCCATCAACAAACCATGGCAAACTGTTAGTCATAACCAGAGGGTAATTGGACATCATTGGAGCTAGTTTTCCCAACAACCTTTTTTCCACGGTCATTTTGGCGGATCACTGAGACCTGTCGGCTTGATCACCTGGGCTTGTCCCAGGTGACCGTGGAGAAACTGCTTGCCTCCTACGGGATGGCTCCCCCCAGTTGCAAGTTGGTTTATAATCCATGAAATAATCCCCATTAACCATAGTATACCATAGTTATATCAGTTATATCTACCATAAATCATAGACTTCAGCCACTTTTGGCCACTGAATGCTATCTTGGGGGCCGCATCCTGTATTCTGGATAACTGAAACTGCTTGAGTTTGACTGTGAAACTGCGCGGGCGATGCAAAGCAAGGACACAAATAAGTGGCAAACTTGGCACATATTCATCCCTCGGATTGTCTCATAGGTATTGACCGCCGTACGGATATTTCCACGCCTCTAATTGGTATTTCATAATGTTTTGGTGTTGCAGTTCACATTGTGATTGCTTAAATCCATCTTTGAAAGTGGGAACATTGACTTCTTTGCTGGTACACTGTGGTAATCAAACATGGTTTGCTGGACATTTCCCCATTGCTATATGATGTTTTTTTCCCAGTTTTTAGCCTCCACTGAGTTCGGGGATTCCGCGTTGCCATGGTGGAAGTTCACTGAGCCCCCCCGAAACCTGTGATTGCAACCGCCCTTTTCGTGGTATCCAGCCAGTGCATGAGCTGGCAACAATCTTTTCCCAAGTGGATTTCCAGCAATCTCGGGGTACCCCATAATAACCATCATTAACCATCATTAACCATCCATTTGAATCGGATTTTCCATGATCAACCATCCATAAAAGGTGGAATCTACAGGATTTATAGGGAATATGATGAATTCCCCTGGCCCAATCCAGTCACTACGGGACGGGACGCCGGCCTTGTGCAAGGCCGCTGACCAAGCGGCTTCGTGAAAGATGCTGCCGCAGTAAAACCTGGAACGGCTCCGGTAGGTTTACGCCGTGAAACTCGTCGTTTTCTTTGTGGATTTCCAGCAAGGCCATGGTTTGATTACGAAAGTGTAAGACAAATGGATATATGACATACCCATAGGATCCATGGTGCTGGTATATATGCTAACATTTGGGGTATATTGATGGTAAATGTTACCATATATAGCATACATGGATCCTATGGATATATGGCATATGGCACAAAGAATTTCAAAGAATATGACAAAATTGGAATGTACCGGGGATGCATAGCCAACAATACCATATATAATATATATATATATATAATATATAATATATGTATATATATATAATTGGGAGTGTGTCTGAAAATGGGGTGTGTCTGACAATACCTACATCTGATAACCAACAATATCTACATCTGATAGTTGGGTGTGTCTGAAAATTGCGTTTACCACCAAATAGCAATGATTGCGAAGAAACTGATTATATATATATATATGTATATAAATAATTCCATTGGAATTGGGAGCATCCTATTTTGAGACAAACCGATAGTATGTCCCCATTCATTGTGTATCCCCCAAAAATGGTTGGAATGAAATCATTCGATATCGCAATGTTTTTGGTTTAATCATCGTCTTAACATAACCATTGTCAAAAAGATCTCGCAAAACAAATCACTTGGAAAACGTGGCGAACCAGGGGGACCATCTTCAGAATGTGTCCAGAACAGCATTCGGATGCTTTCCCAAAATGTCTTGTGGACACGTTCAGAGGCTTTTAAAATTGTAATTGCAAAAAAAACATATGATAATATGCAAGAAAAACCATGGTTACCCTCTGGTAAACTAATATAACTATGGAAAATCACAATGTTTAACTAGTGAACTTCTCAAGTCTGTTGGGTTCAGAGGATGTTCCAAGCCCCGGTTTGGTATACAGTACCTCTCTCCCTCCATCACCCTACCAAAGCTTTTGACATCACTAATGGTGCCAGTGACTGAATGAGTTACTATATATACACCCATATAATAAGTGTATATACATATAACATGTACCAACGCACACACTCACTTAACTTCTCTCTCTCTCTCTCTCCATATGCGCTATTGTGGTAAACCAAAAAGACGGCCCCCAGTATCACCATGCATGGGTGGTAAAAAAACAAAAACAATCTCCAAATGGCAGTTGTTTATGGAATTTCGTTAATCCCACATTCAACACCTACCTTCCTGACCTATAAGAATCCATTAGCCTTTAATGAAAACTAGTGACAATTACGTCCCCATGGTGGGGTTCATCCCCGTTCTATCCCAACAAATTTATATTAAGGTCAATCCCAGCCCATCCGTTCATATCAAACACCCCGGTCCCAAAATATGGTCGATGTCATCCCTGGTCTCAAGGGGGGGTGTTTTTTGGTATTCCGATTCCATTAAAAAATGCAGTAATAATCCATGAAAAATCAGAAAAACATCCCAAGTAAATCCCAACAACATCGCTCCCTTTTCCCACCATAACTTGGGCCATTGGTGTGATGAACATCTTTAATCGTTCAGACATGACCACCAAATCACTTGATCACCGTGAAGGCCGCCCGCCACCCCTTCACGGCAAAAGTAGCTGAACGAAGGCTGACAGCAGCAAGACATACCTCGAGCAGCGTCCAACACATCCAACCCATATTGGGATAGGAGACTGGGAGACTGCCTTTTTTGGAAAAGGTCAATCTTTGTTGTCGCCGCTGTCGCCTCTTACACTCCAGTAAATTAACATAGACCCTGCCAGTCATCGGGGTTGGAAGACTAGTTTCCACTAAATTTTTGTGATTTTCAGGGTCTATGTTAATTTACCAGAGGGTAAATCCCCAAAAAAAAACGATCTGCAGGATTCTGCAGGTACTGCCATAAGCCCAACTATGGCACGACTTAGAAACCAACTGAACGCTAACTCTTGGGAACCAACCCGCATGGAGTGGTCCTGAACCATGACAGGAAGCTCCAAGGACAAGGACCAATCTAAATAATCCAAACAAACGATCCAAGAAGGAACAGGACTGCTACACCCAAGATTTCAGGTTGACAATTGGGCAAATAAACATACCCTCCGGTAAACTAACATAGCTATGGACAATCACAATGTTTCATGGGTAAATCAACAATAAATGTCCATGTTCAATAGCGTTTTGTAAGTTTATCAGAGGGGAACAATTGAACATCACAATGTTCCAACCCTTCTGGCAATGTACCAAAGTTGGAGCAAATCAGACCGAATCCTTGTGGAGAATGAGAGCAGGTAAACCAAGAAGTGAGGAAGAGAAACAAAGTTAGAGAAGAGATACCCTCTGGGATATTAACAGTTTGACCCTGAAAATCACCAATTTATAGTGGAAACTAGTCTTCCAACCCCGATGACTGGCAGGGTCTATGTTAATTTACTGGAGAAATAAACCGTATTGATTCAGATGCGTAAGTGAGGGACATGACATGTCATGGCATCACACTCGATACTAATTACTTGCCTACTGTAGCATCTTTTTTTTGGTGCTCATCCAAAACATGTCCACATTGAAAAGGGGGCGAGTACCCTCCGGAAATCAAACGTGGCAATGGAAAATCCAGTACCCTCTGGTAAACTAACAGTTTGCGACATTGAAAATTGCCTAGTCGAAATAGTGGATTTACCCAGCTATAAAATGGTGGATCTTTTCCAGTTCGTTTTGTGTATGTTTACCAGGTTGGGTAACAACAAATTGGTTTATCGTCCCAGCAATGTTCATCAACGAGGGGCAAGAATGCACTGGGGATGCCTGCGATCTCGTCCTCCCAAGCATCGGGTAAAAAACCTTCCACCAACAATACGATCCTTGGCTTCTGGCTGAGGGATGCCGTATTTAAAACGCAGACATACTGTACTTATCTTATGTAAGGTCTACATAAATTGATGCAAGCATATAAAATTTGAGTGTAACATGATAAAGAGATAAATAATGATAAACGCATGGGGTAATCCCTTCTTCCTATTACCAAACTCTCCCAATCAGTAAAAAACATATCCAGGCTGGCATTTGTGGAAAATTTCAGGTTAGTCAGTTTGATTTTTACTTGATCTCCTTTAGAAAACACGTAAAAATAAGTAAAAAAGTATCCCATTGAGGTCTTCTCTGCTGGACTCGCTAACTTATAGATCCCATGGCGCCGCCAAACGCGATAAGGGCGTTTGTTGGGTTTCAAAAGTGCCATCTGGTGCAATCAATTATCAAATAGATACCTCCATTTTTTCACGAAGCTTTTATTTGTGTTCATCCTGGCTTGACATATTATTCTGGCTGAACTACCATCTGGTTATGACTAACAGTTCGCCATGGAAAGACCCACCATGTTTAAGTTCGGTAAACCATCTATTTCTATGGGCCATCAACAAACCATGGCTATGTTCAATAACCACAGGGTATATCAACTATATTCAATTATAACCCATAGGATCCATGTATGGTATATATGCTAACCTTTGGATACATTTGGGGTATATTGATGGTAAATGTTACCATATATAGCATACATGGATCCTATGGGTAATGCACGAAGCTGAAAATAGCTGTTATCATTTTCGGCCGTTTGAACGGACTCCCCCGCTACCAGGTGAGGCCCCGGAGTCGGATTTTCTGTTCACTGGCTCCACTGGCTGGCCTATCGATGCTTGTAGATATATATATATATATATCTATATAGTCCATAGTTTTCCATAGTTATCCATAGTTATTATAGAGATATTAGCTATAACATGCTATAACTCATCCGGATATTATTCCCTATGGATCCAAACACCTGACAAGGTACGAAAAACATCAACAAATCATAGCCCAGTCCCACTTCCTAAGAAGGTACGGCTGGATCCATAGGGATTATATACGTGCATACAAACTTCGATCATCTCATGGGCCCAGCTCCCAAAAGAATTGCCAGGTGGCATGATCGTAGGGGGCAGCGACAGCAGCAGCATCTGCTTCATCCTCGGAGCATTGGAGCATCGGAAATTCCGGTGAGTCATTGAGAAGGGTTTACGATCGTTATTACTGGATTTGCCACATTGATTCATATACCATCTGGTTATTTAACAATATTTAACAGTTCGCCATGGAAAGATCCACCATGCTATTAAGTTCGGTAAACCATCTATTTCGAACTGGGCCATCTATACCATGGCTATGTTAAATAACCAAAGGGTATAATAACTAGACAACTTATCAATCCAACTATAGAATATCATATCCACCATGAACCCTGGTCTAGTTGTAAATCAACTTAGCAAACAGGGAAAGAATCAATTTGGCTTTTATTGCCGATGATTCATTCAATCTGCGCACAGAATCCAACAAATGAAAGGCCATTGGGGTGGTTCTGGCTAAGAAAAGGTTTGCCAAAACATATCCCTAGCCTACTCCAGCAGTGTTTCTCTTCCATGACGATCATAAAATGAAATTATGATGACTAAGCAATTTGGTAAGTTACTACGTAGACCATTCAATAACTAAACCATCAGTAGGTATGGTTACCCAACCAGTTTTACTATTACTTGCTTGTTCCAAGATACCCTCTGGTAATTTAACATAGCTATTAGACATGGCCATAGAAACAGTGAGTGGTCCCATTAAAAATTGTGATTTTCCATAGTTTGTTTGTATGTTTACCAGAGGGTAACAACAAAATTGCTAACCCACTAATTACAGCAATCTGCATTGATAACCTACTCAACCAGCAAATGTTGGGATGGTTAATGCATGTTGATACATGTGGGAGGCATAGGTCCCATTAAACAAAGTAGTGAATCGTTCCCTGCTTGGGAACCCAGATGGAGGTTTCTTAAAATAGGGGTACCCCATCCATTTGAATAGGACTTTCCGTTATAAATCATCCGTTTTGTGGATCCACCATTATTCAAAAAAACTTGGATTTGCTTAAGGAAACCTCCTTTTCCGCTTCCGAAGTTCCCCAAGGTTCCTGGATTTACCAATTAAAAAAAAAAAACATATCTTCAGCATAAAAAATATCAATGTTCACAAGCACCAGCAACAGCATCTTCCAACACCAGTCTGACTGGCAAATCTTTGGGGGATGAAAGCGCCTGCCACCACTGGGATCTTGAAACATCAAGCTACCGTCTCAGAGTCGCCACAGAGGGATCTTCCAGGACCTCTTCATGGTAACGACACACCTCGGTGTCAGGGTATACCGGAGAGATCAAAAAGAAAAAGAAACTAAAGTCAACTTTAAGTCAATTAGAGTCATATTATATACATATATATATTTATATGCATATATACACACATAATATTATACATATGGTATATATTACGATATATTCGTCATATATGTGTATATATATAATATAGTTCGCCAAGACACCCCCTCGAGCTTCTGCAGCAAGTTCCTGGCACCCACCTGCCGGATGAGTGCCAATGGTTGGATAGCGTTCAGTTGAGATATGGTTGTGGCTGAAAAAACTATGGTTTATGGTAGATATAGCTATAGATAACTATATAACTATGGTTTATAGTAGATATAACTATAGTATATACTATAGTAATTATAGCTATAGATTTAACCATACTTACCATACTTTATGGTAGATATACCTATAGTTAATGGTCTTTATAAACCAACAAACATGGCTGTGGTGGCCCATCCTGTGAAGCTCGGAGCCGGAAACCATGGGTAAAAATACCATCAACTATAGGATCTTGATCGGGCTGTTCGGCATTTTTTCCCTTAAGCCAATCCAGACTTAAGGAACCCACCCAAAAAAAAACACGGAAAATCTATAGATTCCCCAAGGTTCGTGGATCTGCCGTTGGGAAAAGAAACCAATTCATCTTCAGCTCTAGGTTGCACCGTGCTTGAAATGGGGCGGCTTCACGGCTTCACATCCTCTAACCTTCTAGCCACTGAGATTCGTGATTTCACCGCAGAGTGATTATACCACTTCTACATAATTCTACCTTCCGTTTTGGGGATGGTTGCGGATTTCAGACAGCTAACTGGAAGATGAGGGATCATCGAACCATCAAAAACCATATAAACATAATATATATATAAACCATTATAACCAGTCAATAAACTGAACTGATGGGTTTGTCCGAAAAAATGCTGCACATCCCATGAGAAACCGGTCAGTGCCTTCACCGGATCGTATAACAAGCGCGCCTTAGCGAGGGCACACCCAGGGCCACGAAAACCCGGCCTTGCATCGGAAGATAAAATTTGGGAAAGGGGACCGTCGGACCAGTGGGGATCCCAAAACCAAATTCCATGGAAATACCGCATCTAACTAGTTGTGATTAGTTATGATATGTTATGATATATATATATAATATCTACCATAACCTCAGTTGACCTGCTTAACCCCTAATTAGCCAGGATTTTTGCCCCTTCCTGCTGCCATGAACCCAAGGTTGTTGCGTGAATATCACAATACACCAACGAAGGATGTCTAACTGTATCTGACTGGAGAAACTTTGCCACTTTAAACTTCAGGACACGATTTAAATGTTTTTACCACTGACAGATATCTCTGAAATATGTTGGCGCGTGAATCCGAGATGCCAACTTTCCGCTTAGCCATGATCGTTTCAGGTAAAATTTGGTTGGCTTTTGGGTGCTTGCAATTGAAACAAACAAATCAGTTGCAATTGTAATCGTAACTCCAGAATCGCCCAGTCCTGAAGGGCTTGATGTTCCAAATATGTCAAGACCATTTTCTTCAGGGAGGGCGGGTAAATCATGTTTGCTCTCGAATCAGAAATGAACTACAAAATGCAGATGTTAAATCGTTAAATCCCTCTTTTCACATCAAGGTCGCTACAATTTGCTCAGAACTGCTCCGTTACTTCAGGAGACGCCCAGATTATCGCCGCCCCGTTCAACTGAGCAGCGTTTTGGGCATCCTTCACCACCACACCGCGGACCTCAAGCGCTTTGTTGTTGCCCCGGGCATAGCATGGATGATCCTACAACGAGGACACCCAATTTGATGAGTGAGTTGGCTTACAACTAACATAAGTTGGGTGTATGGTCGAGCATCTACAATTGGATGGGCCTATAAGTGTATGTAATCCAACTTGAAGCTGGGGGAACTATTTCCTACAACCCGTTACAATTGGGATATTTCAAGAGGTCTGGAAGTTCGACCTACAAAGTAGTGCCCCAGATTGTTACCCCTAAGTTGGCTGTACGCTCTACAGATTTATGGCAAATATATAGTTTGTTTTTTCCTATCCATCCATCCATCCATCCATCCATCCATCCATCCACTGTGAACTGGCTCTAACAAGATGCAACAAGAAGCAACAAGCACATGGGGGCACCACCCATTGCGAACTTAGGGGATCATCCAAGTCGCTCATACATGGCCAACTGGTTTCCATATTTGTTGATTCTGCTTCTTCCTACCTTCGCTGCGCGTCAGAGAATCGATGGGCAGCGGAGGGCTCTAACTATATTAACTACCTGGAAAGCCTAGTGCCCATTGGTTTGGGCAATTTCCAAAGTGCCCGAAATTTTGGCCACTGGAAAGTGTACCATTTTAGGAGTAGGATTTCTACGGGTATTTATGGCACTTCACGGATATTTACGGCACTTTTACGGTCATTTTTGCAGGAAAAGATGAAGTGCCTTTTTTGGTGTGAGACTTGCAAAGTGCCACAAAAATGGGCTACCAGGCCAAAGTAGCCTGAAACAATAGGCAACTACGGCTTTCCAGGTATGGACACTAAGTTAACCCGAGGAAGAGCAAGCAAAGGCACGTGAGGCACGTGAGGATTGTCGGAAACGCCTGTCTCTGGTGTCGCCGTGGCGTTGTAATGTCCAAGACCTCAAGCGCCAGGTCTCTGTGTCCCTCGTTCGCTGGCTCGGCGTTGGTGTTGGACCCTCCAACAGCCGCTTCCGGATGCACTGGAGGAGTCAGCGGCGACGCGAGGCTGGAAATGAGATGGAAATGAGAAACGGTTTCCCTGGGTACAAAATTTACGTGTGGTGGCGGGTACCCTCTTGGTAAATTCACATATATACCCATAGATCCATGTATGCTATATGTGGTAACATTTACCATCAATATACCCCAAATGTTAGCATATATACCATACATGGATCCTATATGGGATATATAGTAACAAAGCTATATGTAAAATCACCATCTTTAATAGGTACGGTAAATCAACGAAGTAAATTTGGATCAATTCCGCCAGCGCTCTGATATGCATATTCCACAAGGGGTACCAGATGGTGCCACACAGCTACCTAGATTGGTTTAGCAACATTAACATAGAGTTTATGATAGTTTATGGATGTTTATGTTTATGGGAGATATCATCGGAGATATCTCTACAGTGATGTCAAATGGGCTTCTGAACCAACTCCTACACAGTCGATTTTTCTCACTCAACCAATCTGTTCAATCATGGAGCCTTAGCCGGCATATGGGGGTCTCATCATTGGGGACCTCTGAAGGTGAGAAAACACATCTATCTGCCTCTTTCATGTGTTCAGCCAAGGGCTAAGTGATGCTTTGGGTTGGTGCGCCATTGCATACTGGTGATGCCCAAGTGTGATCACCGTCTGAGAATCCCTATGTTCCAAACAACCAAGCCAAACTGCCAGTTGGGATAGTAGGTTGTTTGAAAATTTCGGGGAACCCTCAAAATGCCCTGGTTTATCGTCATTTACCCTCATTTGTTTGGGGGCAAACCCACATCCAGTCCCCGGGTATACATCCAAGGGCATACTCCAAAGACCTTCCGGGGTGAATTTCCATGCCAAGGGGCTCCATAGATGGAGGTGGCAACCTTGATCCGTGTCCATTGGCTCGGTCATCGGGGAGAAGATCAGTTCATATCTACCAGCGATGTGCATTTCTCTCAATGGATTGGATTTATAGGGACCATTTTAGCCGGAAAGCCCCATATCTTCATGGGAAAACCGATGCTTTCCCGTAGGTTTATTTGGCATTTTTTCTTTTACAGGAAAGCCCCATATTTCATGGGAAAATCGATGGTTTCCGGTTACGATTTACATTTTCCCTTAAACCAACCCATTGATTCTCAGAACCTGACGGGTATGACTCGGGTATGACCACATAAAAGACGTATGATTACTGCTTTAAAAAAGACATAAGTTTATGACTATCACGGATGTATGTGTTTTTGTATCTCGAAATCATTCCAAAGGGCTATCAACAACGGAAGATGATGAGCCATCATCAAGTTATAGCCTCTTTTCAGGGTAGAACCCATCCATTCCATATGTCTGTTATTTAAAAAAAATGCCCTTGAAGGGGAGGATTCTGGCATGAAGCTCGGACTTCTGGCAGAATTCATATTGATTCACCAAGCTCAAACATAGCAATCATACGGCCGATGATTCATAAACATCCATAAACCACAATGATTCCAGTGACGTCGGTGAGGTTCCGATCCAAAATGGATGAAGATTGATCCAAAACTTACCCAAAAAGGAGCAAAATAGGAGGACCGCCAGGGGCCATCCCTTGGCAATGCCTTAAGTGTCATCCAACAACAACCGCTTCCACCACGGTTTCCCTAATGTTAGCCGTTAGCCAAGGTTTATGAAAACCATTCCTAAGCCATTGGATGACCCATTAACAATGGATAATCCAATGGGTTCGTGTGGGGTCCATCCCTGTTTGAGGGGTGAGAAAAATACTGGCACCAGGTTTCGGCCAGGTTTCGGCTATGCCCTTGGAGCCACTGAGACCCCCCACCTTTCGCAGTTGGGTACTACTCTGGGTCATCAGCCTTGGTTTGAGGTGGTTTTTGGCAGTTTTTGGCTCCTAAAATGTGGTGCCCCGCAAAAGTTCGTTGATAAACCTATCCAACATTATCCAACTATATATAGATTATCCAGCTATAGATATGCTCAGCATAAACCCAGCCGTTGTCCAATTATAGATATACTCAACCAATCCCAGTTACTAGTTCTATCAGCGTAGACCCATGATATAGTTTGCAAAGTTCTTTCAACCAATGGCTCAAGCCATCCCAAAATCTAACCGGAACAAACCGTTCCTGGCAAGAGCGACCACTGATTTTTTGGACTGCCTCCAGCAGCCCAACCTGGTTGGAAAACCCACATGTTCAATGGGAACATGGTCTTTGTGAATGGGAGGACACTGCCAGGTTTGATGACGAAAAGCTATCCGTGACACTTACAAGGTGAGGCCCCATAGTTATAAGTTGGTTTATAAGCCCCAGTAACTATAGTTATAAGTACCATAAACCATAGTTATTGGAGTTATAAACCAACTTAGCTATCTTGGGGGCCTCACATTGTACACATATGTTCTTTGCTTGTCAAATCAGGTCTCGCTTAATTACTGAAAGCTAACTGTTTGCCAATCTTGGCAACATTAGCATGTGTTCCTTCAATTTCAATTTTGGCTGGTTACCCTGTGGTTATTCAACATAGCCATGGAAAATGGCCCATTTATAGATGGTTTACCTATTAAAAATTGTGATTTTCCATGGCTATGTTAGTCATAACCAGATGGTAACCTCCCATTTTATCAATTCCAAAGCACCCCAACTGTGTCGGAAGCAGCCGAGGGGCACAGGCAATTCCGATGGCCGGTCGGTGCGCTCGGAATGAACCTGCACCTGATGAAAAATGATCAAAGGGCCTGTGAAGGGCAAACCTTAAACAAGCATCCTATTTAACAAGCGACCACTTATCAACCAAGTGTATGCCCTGTATTCTTGGTGATATTTAGCTGGGTTATGGAGTTATAGTATGACATGTTATTGCCCACTTACTCACTGGAAACTGAATGGGATGGGAACCGGGCTGCACCAACAAAAAGATAGTTTAGTTCTGCAAAACACGAGGCTTGTAACCAGTAAAATAGTGGCTGTCACGAAAAATAATTGCCATGTGGCAACCTAAACGGAGAATCGTACCTACATGTCTATGGTATTCACCCATCACTTTCTTTTTTCGGTGTGGAAAAAAACAATACCCTTATGGGATCATCGTGGGGATTGACACGCTAGATATAGTCCCCCTTTAGGGTTCAAAAACCGTTTGGATGATCTGCACCGTTTGCAAGTGGGTTCTTCTCAAAACGGGAATGTCAAATGCTGTGGCCTTGAAATCTTAACTAAAACATACTAAAGTAAACTATGATGCCGGCTTCGGTATCCTTTTTCCAGCCTGCAACTTGATGTCTGGGAACAAAAATAATGGAACATGTGGATGGAGATCTTGGAATGTCAACCCCGGATTGGTTAAGAATCGGGGTCTCCCATATGTTTGTTGAGTTCATCTACTAAAGTGACACCCTCGTAGTTTCACAAGAGCTCATAGATGAACATCGGGCTTGACATTGCCAACACATCGCGTTGCGCGGACGTTGCGCTCCACCTCGTTCAAGACGCTTGCTTCGAAGCCAACATCCTCAATGGCTTCAACCTCATCATCCCAGGCTGGAACAAATCGACAAACCAACCAGAAAATATGGTGTAAAATGGTGTAAAGGTGCAGTTTATCCTTGAAACCATCATGATTAGATATCCCAAACAAGGAATTTAAAAAGCCAGTGTCTGACCATAAATCCAAAGTTAAGGGAACATCTGGAAGAGGCAAGGGCGAAGAATATAACAATAGCTAGAGAGCCGCCAAAGCTGAAAGACGTATATGTCTACTGTTGTAACACAAGGATCATTTTCTGGTTGGTGGTTGACCTACCCCTCTGAAAAATATGAGTCAGTTGGGTTGATGACATTCCCTAGAAATGGAAAAATAAAAGTCATGTTCCAAACCACCAACCAGAAATCTTCATGCGCAAGCCACCAGTTTCGAGTATCCAAGTGACAACATTCTCAGCGTGCACGCTCGGAAAATAGGTCACCTTTCAAAACCCGATTCGTTGGACGCGCAGCAGGTTTACACCCCGAAGAGTTAACACGGAAGCTGAAAAACAGGCTGGCAAAGGATCATTGATTTTACTACTAGGATATGTTTTTTTCTTGAGTGTGGTTCCATGTTAAATGTACTGGGTCGTCACGTGTTCTACAATAATTTCTGGCACATTGAAATGCAGTAACTTGAGATTAAGTGTTCTGGCATCTTAGCTTCTACCTCAAGAACCACCTTGTCCCAAAACGCTTCAGGAAGAACATGGAAGAACACTGAAGCCATGACCAGACACCTGCCTTCGGGGGAAGCGCCAGCTGTAGCGGCTTCACAGGGGATGGAATCCAAACTCTTGAGGTCCAACTCTTCAGCAAGACTAGAAAGGTCCAGATCACCCAATTGGTCCTCCTGGCTTTTCTTTGGGACTCCCTTGAAGGACCTTCCAGACGCCAAGGACTGCACGAAGGATGGGTTGCCTTGCGAGGAGGCAGTGCGGCATCACTCCTGGTCATCGCCGAATTGCACGTGCACGTTTTGCCTCCGGAGGTTCCCGCCCCACCGACAGCAATCCCGGCTCCAAATCGGGCTGTCACCCGTGAGCTTGATGTACCCAAGGGCACATTTGCAGCATGCTCAGTGAGCTCATAGGTATCTGTTTCTGCTTCTTCTTGGTGTGTCACTTTAGTTGCTGCTGAATCAAATGGCCGGTTGCCCATTTTCCACTAGCCATTGACTAGCCATCCAGCCTGGTTGATGGTTTTAACCACATTGAAAAATATTAGTCAATGGTCAATGGGAAGGATTATCCCATATATTATGGAAAATAAAACTCATGTTTGAAACTACCAACCAGATCTTTGGTAGTTCAACTAATGTTGGTGGCCCAGCCATAAGTCACAGTTATTAGTTGGTAGTCCACAGCCATTGGACTATTTTCACTATAGTCTACCCTCCAGTAAATTAACATAAACCCTGGCAGATGGGGGTTGGAAGATTAGTTTCCACTAAAAATTGATATAAATTGGTCATTTTCAGGGTCCAACTGTTAATTTACCATAGTCTCTGAGCCATCCAGCTATTGGGGGTAGCCCCAGGCATTCGGAACCCCGGGGTTCCCCAGGGCATCGCCTCGGCACGTTTTAAGGTCAAAGAGATCTCCGCAGACCTGAGCAACACGATGGAAGCAGAACGACAGGTTCTGCTAACCCAAGAGATTTGTTGAGCCCATTTGAAGGTGCTAAAAAAAACAGGGTTTAAATTGTGTTTTACATGGTTTTTACCTTGATACATATGTAAAACATGGTGTGTATATATATATATATATGTGTGTGTATCAAGTTGGTGTTTTACATGGTTTACCTATATATTTTCACGGAAAGTGTATTATCCAGCCAAGTTTACCTTTGCTTAACTATGCTTAGATACAGGTAACTAAAGATTGTTTGATATGACCTGAAAAGCACCAAAGCAAAACTGAGTGTATAGGTATAGCCCAGCCAAGTTTTAAGCCTTTGTTGAGGGGGTAATGTGGAAGAACATGTTATACCTAACAGTTCACTCTGAAAGTTTCACTTGCCCCTATGCCAGGAAGGGCCCCACCCTGTAGATTTATCTGCCACAACCCCAACATAGTTCAACCAACAGAGCTAAGGTCAACGCGGGGCCTTCCCTGTAGTAACAGCAATGTACCCTATATTAAATGGTTGCTACATCCAGTGTCATCAAACATGGCCGGCAATTTCAATGGGAAAATGATCTATAAATGGGGAATTTTCAAGTGCCATGTTTGATTACTGGAAGGTAAACCCATACATATATAATATCATAACTAAATAAATGTGTATAATATAAATATATACACATACATTATTATAAAAATGTATGTTATATTACTACAATAAATATATATATATATAATTATCCTGATATACTATATTATGCACATATTATTATAAGGGAATATTCACCATGGTGCAAGACATGGGCCTGGGCTCTTCCATGCCGGGAAGAGGTGCACGGAATCGCTACCCCCAAGATGAAGTTCATGTTCAACGTGAAGTGTAGCGAAATATACCCTCTGGTTATTTAACATAGCCATGGAAAATCCCTTATAAATGGAGGTTTTAATGGGAAAATCATCTATAAATGGCTATTTTCAATAGCTATGTTAAATAACCAAACATGGTGTTTTAATGTGTTTTACCCTCTAGTAATTTAACATAGCTATTGAAAATGGCCATTTATAGTGGATTTTCCCATTGACAATTGTGATTTTCCATAGCTATGTTGGTTTACCAAAGGGTAGCAAATGCATGCACATGTTCAACGGCGACCGGATAGTCAAATATTGCTCTGAGTATTTCGGACTACTTTTTTTATCTTTCCCTGGGCTGGGAACAGCCGCCTAGCACGAACGGCTGGACCTGTCACTGTGAAAAGGTGGCTAAGTAGCTGCGAACTTATGAGCTCGGAAGATACAAACCACTTCATTACCAACCATTGATGAACCTGGTTTGCAGGTGATCCTGTTTTTTGGTAGTTAAAGCCACTTGCAGCCGTGGATTCAAACTGCGCCGATCTCGCTCTCCACATCTCTCCGCGCCACCGGAGAGTCAATCATGAAAACTAGTAATCCAATAGTAATCCCATCCCCCTGTAATACGAAGAAATTATAAAACGGTTACCCTCTGGTAATTTAACATAGCTATTGAAATTGACCATTTATAGTGGAATTACCCATTGAACATGGTGATTTTCCATTGCTATGTTAGTTCACCAGAGGGTACATCTAAAAAAATATGAACATGCCGTTTTATATGAACAAACCAAGGTCTTGGGGATTTTATAATCCCGGGCCAAACCCAATAGTAATCCCATCCCCCAAGACCTTGGTTTGGCCCGGGTTGAATTTTCTCTTCAGCTTCACTGCAGGGGATGGAATCATAAGACGCACTGAGGAAGGATCCGTCTTAGCGCAGAGATCCTCAATCCTTCCAGGAACTTCCAGTACTTCTCAAGTCATTTGGGTTTGTTTCCTCTTATCTTGCTGGTTATCCTCCAGCAAATTGACATAGACTCTGCCAGTCATCGGGGTTGGAAGACTAGTTTCCACAACAACCATCTCATGTTCAGGGTCTATGTTAATTTACCAGAGGGTATATATCCCAGTAAGTCCCATAGGTCCCATGATCTATTACATCCCATGAAGCTCTCTCACCGTGTTTGTAGCATCGAATGCCATTAAAAATACAAGGTTCCCATCATTTTCCCAGATGAAATGACCATTTCATGGCTGATTCCCCTTATCATGGCTGCAATTTTTCTCCACCAAAAATGGGAACTAAAAACCTCACACCTTCCATCAAGTGACTTCACCCCGTCCAGGGCAGTGATCGCACGCTCCACGGCACCCACCTTTTTGTGATTGATCCAGAACAATGGGGGATTGAAATCAACACTAGATACCCTCGGGTTATGACTAACAGTTTGCTATTGAAAATTGCCATAGAAATAGTTGATTTACAAAACATGTTGAATTTCCATAGTTATGTTAGTTTACCAGAGGGTATGGGAATATGTTGGACAATTGCCCTTCAAGAACAAAAACACGCGCACTCACACAATACATTTATATATATATATATATATAATGTGTATCTGCGCAGTATCTATCTGTCACACTATATATCTATCACGCATACAGTAAAACAGTTGTGTGGTTTTGTCTGAAAATATGCTATCCCCGGTGGATTATCCTCTTTTTCCCTATGAAAACAGCTACAAGTGGCATCCCCAAGAGGATCTGCCAAGCCGCACAGGATGCACACGTCATCCTCGGGACCCAGGTGGTGTTTAAGGGAGGCAACGCTTGGTCAAGAAACAGCACTTGTTGAGGGATGGTTTATAGATGAACTGAAAAATATTGCAAGCAACATCTATGGATTTATGATGATTTATGATAACTTATGCATGATGGTTTATGATGATGCATGATTATTTGTGATGATTTATGTATCTCTGTCTCCATCGCCTTCAGAACAAGTCTGCCTCCGCCTATTTTTTTCTTGGACTGTACTATCTCAGGGGGATTTATTTATGGTACTTGCATTTTTTGGGATAGAGATGTGTCCAGTTGATTTCCAAAACATGGTTTGTCAGCATGAAAACCTGTTCCCTGAGGAACTCCAACCAAATGCATTTCATCTGCTGCTTTGTGCAAATGTACGCTTCCTGATTCGGTCATTTCAATCCCGTCCATGTTTGTAGAATAAAAAACAATGTTCTGTCCAATTCATTAAGGGCAGCCATGCCATCAACAAATACATGAACCAACCCATGTTGGAGGACACTGGAGGCGAAATCCACGGCATTATGATTCCATTGATCCATACTCTGCCATATATATATAAGTACACATACATACATGCATACATGCATGCATGCATGCATACATACATTCATACATATATATATATATATATATGTTGTAGATTATCATAGGTGACCATTCTATGATATTCTATATATCCCTTTTTAAAATGGATATATATATATGTTCCATGACCAATTGTCCAATGTCTTCGCGTGCCCCAACCGCCACACATCCCTCCGACAAAAACCGCCCAGGTGCCCTTCCACCTTGAAATGACCCACCATCCTCAGCCGGATGCATGGTGATTACCTCACATTTTGAAGCCATTGGGAAATAGCTACAGTAAGTGTGGTTACTTAAGGGTTGATATATATATATATATGGATATATCATGATTAATATCTTTTTGAGGGGTTGATCGGCCAATTTCAACTCTTTTTTTGTCTTTTAATCAGCCAAACGAATCATTTTTCAATGCGGTTTTCAATGCATCCCAGAAGGAAAGTAACAAGTCTTCCAACTCCACCATTTTCTTCACAAAATGTTACCATATGGTACCCAATCATGTTCGTTCTGATCAATGGAATTCGTTGGTGCTTCTGAGGGATTTGCTTGTGGCTCCGGGTGAGATAGCATGGGGACATTGGAACTCTATTGGTTTCACCACATTTCGTGGACAATTTTGTTATATTTTGTTCACTGAAACCTCTGGGATCTTCACATTCCAGCCCCATGAAGCAACGGACGTTCCACCCCCAAGTTAACCTCTTTATTATGCATATATAAATATATGGTTCATTCATTGTTTTATGATTCATTCATTTATTTGTCTATGTATGGATTTGATATCATATCGGCCACAAATTGTAGTATATATAATTATATATATATATGTTCATATTATACAGTATATGTTATTATATTATCAATTGGTATTGAATAAATATAAATTGTAACTATATCAGACTATACCATCTCTTCAAACTTTGGACTTATCATCCGGAACAAGGAGTACTATTTTGGACATTTAGATGGAACACCACAAAGCAACTTCTTCAGTGTAACCGAGATCCAAAACATGTTTCTAAGTTCAGGGAATAGCCAAGCAACACAGCTAGCATCCACATCAACAACACAGCATGTGGCGCCTCTTTTTGTGCTTTTCGTGGCCGCGCAAACGTGCGCTGTTGTGCCGTTGCGCCAGGACGTAAATAAGCCGGGATGATCTTCAATTTAAGCAAGTAGGCAGCAGTTGGTTAATCCATTCCCCCACTACCACCTCGCTATTCATTGGGAACTGGTGGTGAATCATTCCAGCACCAAATGGTACATTTGTCTCTTCATGAAGAGAGTGCTTGGGCAACTGCGCGCCAAACAATGCAAGAATACATCATTGTCCGGAAAAACTTGTCAAGGCTATGGTAATGATATGTAATGCGTTTATTGCAAGTTTGGTGCGCTGTTCTCTCGAAAACATCCGTCTTTTTCAGACCTGTCTCAAACCGGAAAGGTCCGTGGAACGGAAGACTCAAACAAAACAAACATCAATGCAGCCCGGAAAGTGGTCATCTTCCATAAATTTGCTGGTTGCAATCCATCCATCCACATGGCTAGTCTAATCCATCCAGGTATACCCGTCCTCAGCAGCCACCGAGAATTTGTTGTTGAACCTCAGCCAACTGGGTGTAGAAATCCTTCTGCTCATCGTAGAAGACCTGGGACCAAAAAAGGCGCGATCCGCCTAGGGAAACAGGTGGAAAATAGGGACTTAACTAGGAAAATCATGGAAAAATGGCATGGAGATACGATAGGGATATCAGTTGGCTGTGATTGTTGTGGGTATAACTACCATGGCACCTCAAATCATGCGGATAAGTGCAACAATGTACCAGGTTTAACTTTGAGGTGGAAACATATGGGGTTTTCGACAAAATACATAAAACATTGGGAATATGCACATGCCTTGTTTCTTAAATCAGCTTTAATTCCACTTTTCAACATGTTTTTGAGCCATCATTTGGCTCAGGCGCATAGACGGGGTCGAAGAGAGGGCAGATCTGCTGGTAGACCTCGTAGTCGTCCGGCGTGATTAAGGACTTCCGCAACAGGACACGAAGGAACTGCGCATAGAGACCTCCAGACAGGCTGAGGTTGGGGCTTACCCACTTTCATGTTGGTAAACAATATGATACAATACTAAGTAAACATGGCAGTTTTATTACTCAATGTCTTTCTGACGATTGGTTCAAGGTCAAAAATGAGCAGAAACCATGGTTTCTCAGAAGTCCTGCAGATTTTCTGCTCATCCCTCATGGAGGTTGACGCGCGCAACCACCATTTTCGTAGCAGAAATAGAAACGTGTACTATGACAAGAATACAGCACTAGGGGCATAAAGGATAAACATCCATTTCCCGCAGACCTCGTTTGAGCCATTAAAAATAGCAATCTCCCATCCCAGCATACAGTTTGGCTGAGAAATGTTGTATTGTGGTTTTGATAATATTAAGTCTGCCAGGTGAGTAGGCAAATTTATATCCCTCACTACCCTCTGGTAAGCATTGATAGTTGTTCTACCTGCTAAACATACATAAACAAATGCTGATTTTCCAGTTCGCTAGTTTACAACAGGATAACCCCCAGGGGTCAGCTAGTCAATCTTCGATACCGAAAACATCGCCATACTGATAGCAATAAACAACCCAAGGCTTACACAAGACCCTGAAACCTATACGACAAATCATTTATTTACCTCTATATATACCCATACCGTTGATTATTGGAAGCTCAAAAATGGCCAATATAATTGATATGCCTTATTTCTTGAAATAGGGATCCCCATTATGAGTAACAAGAACATATCTTTGATAGTTTAAGTTTAAGCACCATCATAAAACGCACGCACACATACATACATACATATATATATATATATATACGATGGTTAAAGCTTATGGAACTGGGTCAAGTGGTCACTACTTGGGGGGAGCAGTTCCAATCATATTACTACTTGGGGGGCGCAGTTCCAATCATATTTTTATATATCCTGATATATCTCCATAGTTAGAGGGGCCCCGTATCTCAACTTATGGGGGCATAACAATGTTTGTATCCATGAACAACCATCATTCACTACCATAACAACCATTAACCCATGATTAGCCTACTATTCATGTGGTTAATCAGAAATAAACCATCTCCAATAGAGATTTACTACCCTCTGGTAATTTAACATAGCTATTGAAAATGGCCATTTATAGTGAGTTTTCCCACTAACAATGGTGATTTTCCATAGCTATGTTAAATTACCAGAGGGTATATTTATGAGACAATTGGGTGCTCAATGGGATATCCCTATGTTATAATTGTCCATTATTGGATATCGATTGGATATTAATAATATAATTCTATATAAATTTATAATTGGTATGATTGATACTGGTTGTAGTAGGCTGATTGATATATTAATTTTAATAATCCGCATAATTGGTATAATTAGTATTATAATTGGGTATATAGATATATTTATCATTAATGAGATTTTATCATTCATCATTGGTATGATTAGTAATCAACATAGATGGTATTATGAATCAGCCCATTATACAGTTGGCCAATTTAATAATAGTTGGTACTTCGGTTAATCTATGAATCATTGTTGACTTATTTATAGTCCAAAATTATTATTCAAAAATCACCTAATTATTGACCAATTACCAACTATTATTAACCATGATTCATCATTATCAACTTAATCAATCATCGACCACTAAAAATCAACCATTCTCATTCATTCATTCTTATCTCACAAAAAAATGGTTCACCCATGGTTTACCTGTATTAACCCAGCATTTCCCCAGTCAACGCCTGGCCTCGTGCCGTCTCCACCGTTGCCTCCGTGAAGTTCTCCACCTGTTGCCGCACCAAGTCCGTCAGCTTGGCGGCGTAGCGATGGCCTGGAAGTGGTCAAAATCCATCGTAATGTGGGAATCTTAATGGATATTAATGTTCAATGTGGTGCCCCATAGTTGGCTAAGTTGGTTTATAACTCCAATAACTATGGTTTATGGTAGATATAACTATAGTTAATGGGGTTTATAAACCAACTTATAACTATGGGGCACCACATTGTATTAATGTTAATATTATTAATAATGTGGGAATATTAACTATTAATAATTGTTAATCATGGTTAATAATAGTTAATACTTGGTAGTATATGTTTTTTTCTTAATAAACAAACTATATAAGTGGTAAGATCTTATGACTTTCAAAATTGGTATCATAGATCTTCATAACATTGGAATCGCTATGTTCCAGACCACCAACCAAATAATAGATGTTATTATCTCAATATTAGCAATAGATGTCATTCACAACCTTAACCACAATAAGTGGTCAAAATTAATGGTTAATGACCTCATATTATGGGTTGGATGGTGGACAACATCTATGGGTGGGTTATTAATGTGAGGAAAATCTATATATTTTAAACCACCTATGACTGGGAATGGTAAACATACCACCTATAAAAATAGTGATCTTCCTGGGGGGTGGTTCATGGAAAAACAAATGATCATCGATGATCATTGAATTGGTTTAGGGGAAAATCTTAACCGGAAACCATGGATTTTGATGGATTTCCCAATGAAAAAAAGGCCTGTCCTGTAGTTTTTTTCCCTGTAAAACCAATGCAATTGTACGAAGACCTATGATAGCAATATTGAAAGTCATAGGGTTTTACCACTTAGGATTTTAATATACTACATTATATCATATGATATAGTTTTTGACAATCATTCAAAGACTATGAATAGCTATGAATAGAAAAACTATGACACATGTAGATATGTTGCTCTTCTGTATATATATATATATATGTATGTATGTATGTATATATGCAAATATATATATATAAATATGAATATATATGATTTTTTCAATATACATATACTCTGTTAGTCTCAGTTAGTAACGTGGAGGGGGTGGTGATGCCCAGTGGATCCAATGCATGACATTACTGGTTGGTGGTTAACCTACCCCTCTGAAAAATATATGAGTTCGTCAGTTGGGATGATTATATATTCCCAATATATGGGAAAAAATGTTCCAAACCACCAACCAGTATATATATATGTACCTGGAGCTTCAAAGGTACACTAATTTCTGCTCGAGCAAATTTCTGCTCGAGGAACCCAAATCTGCTCGTTTTACATATTTCTGCTCGAGGTACAGAATTGCGCTCGTTGTGGGGCCTGTTTTTTTGAATCAGTGACAGTCAGTGAAAACTCAAGAAGTGCTCGTTTGATCTCGTTTGGTAAATTTCTGCTTGTGATGGAAAAATGCGCTCGACTTGCCAAAAACATATACGAACAAGCAAACAACCAGAAATTAATGCTCGTTTGAAGATCAAGGTATATATGCAACATTGGGCCCCGTAGTGTGTGAGAACACACATTAATCTATGACTTGCACCCTGGACTCATATATGGGTTTAGCCTCCCTACGCCGCACCATCACACTGGTTCTGTCCCGTACACCCGATCATCCTTTTTGATATCTTTCCGTCATTGGGCTTCTTATTTGTTGTTTCTTCGAAAGGAAGGTATGTGGGTTTGTGAGGCCCCCAAACGATTGTCACACACGTACACACTCGACTATATATGCACATCAATTTCAATTCTAATGGGAGCCAAATTCAATGTATGAACTTATTTTTGGGTCTTTCCCAAAAGTGGTGAAGGGAAACTCAGCATCCCCTGTGGTCCGAGCTTTCTTCCAGGAAGTCGTAACGAGCGAAAATGATCATCTGCCCCACGAGGTATCGCACCTGAAACACTGCTGGTGGGATGGATCCGAACAACATTTTGAAAATGTGGGGGGGCCCAAATTTCGTTTAAATTCGGTGCTTGTTTGAGAATGGGGCATATCCCCATTTCTCATTTTATGTCAATGTAGCGCGGAATATGATGATGAACCAACGGATTTGGACTATGCCATTTATGGACACTGCCCACTAGGCTGCCCACTGGTGCCACTAGGTCAAATTGGTTTCGCTTTTTCGTTCTACTCAGGAATCACTGTGGACTATAGCATATACCGTGGTTTTAGTTCTTCTGACTCTGGGTACCTCTGGTTCTTCTATGTTGCTCTTTCTGTGCCGCTTCACGTGGGTTTACGCAAAACAGGTCGGAAAAACACCAAAATGTGGAGAATAGTGACAAACCACAAGATCCAGAAGGGTTTGTTGGGGGATACGCACTGGTGGCAGAAACATACATCGACCACAACCTTTTGCAGTAGAATACTGGAAACTGCAATAGGGATTCCACCAACCCCCAGAGGTGAACCCCTAATGCTGGATTAGCTGGTTCAAATGTGCCCTTAAAACCGTGGTGTCTCGTGCTTGATAACCTTTAAGCATCAAGGCCGTTACTTTATTATTTTTGTTTTTGATTAGATGGAATATGATTAAATCAGATCAAAGCCCTTATATTAAAAAAAAAACGCACACCTCACCTCATGCACCTTTTTATGCACCTTTTTGTCCTGGATCTGCCGAGTCGAAGGCATGTTTTTTTCTAATCCAGGACCCTATGAGGAATCGATGAAGGGCATATCTATTTGTTTTGGAGGGGTCCTCAAGCAAATCCATGGTGAATAATGGTTAATTTACTGGTTAATAATGGTTGATAATGGTTAATAATGGTGGTTTATGGCTAACCATGATGGGAATTTTAACCATAACTGGTTGGTGGTTGGTTTCTACCCCTCTGAAAAATGATGGAGTGAAAGTCAGTTGGGATAATGACATTCCCAACTGAATGGGACAATAAAATTCATGTTCCAAACCACCAATCAGAGTTGTTAATTAACTCTGCCACTGGTCACTGGTATTGAAAATCGTCACCTCACAAATCTCACAACATCGCCACGTGGCATAGGCATTCTTCAATCGAACGTGGGGAGCTTCCATGGCATAGCCATCCCCATCGAAGACGGGCTTCAAGCGCGTTTCCTGTGGCCATGTGGTGCCCCCAACTTTGCCACCAACAAAAATCAAAGTTTGAGAAATACTGTAAACGGTGATGCAACAAACAAGTTAGGGACTTATTCATGTTGGTATGTACGAGTACTTGATTTATCATTATCTAAAAGTTGCTTGAAGGATTTGAAAAAATAGCGTAACCATGCTTAACATTTGGATTACCTCTGGTAAACTAACATAGCTATGGAAAATGGCCCAGTCGAAATAGTTGATATACCGATATACCGTTGATACCCATTAAACATGGTGGATCTTTCCATCGTTTTTTGGAAACGTTTACCGGGTCGCGTAACTTGGATCAATCTGTGGTATATGGAACCAACTTCTGGGATCTGAAGATCTCTAACCCGGCGCCCGGTAGCGGCCGGCGGCCCGGTCGTTTGGAAGAGCCATCCCATCATGTCTATAGGATCCATGGTGCTGCTATATATGGCAACATTTACCATCAATATACCCCAAATGTTAGCATATATACTCTACATGGATCCTATGGGTCATGTCTATAGGGGGAAATTCAACAAATAAGACTTATATTAATTGCAAACGAGTTTGAATTATTTTTTGGGCACCCTTCTGTACCACCCTAAATAAATAACATTGGAACCCCACATCCATGACAGCACTCCCGAGCTTGATCATGGCGCAATCAAAACAGCGGAACATGTCGTTACGACCACCCCGGCGAGCGGCGAAAACACGCTGAAAAATTTTGGGAATCAACTCTTCTGCAGGGCACGCTGGACCGTCCTCAGCTCGTAACTTTGAACCAGCTGATTTCTTTTGTGGCAGCTGATGAAACCACCTCTGAATTCAGAAACGAAAACTTGAAAAAACTTACTATTATAGGAACTCTCGGATTTCAACTGCAGTTGTTCAATCTAGGTGTTGACTGTATACATAAATGAATAAATATAAAATCATTATTATGTGTATATATATATATGTGTGTGTCTAGGATGGCTGAATCACACATGAAGTAGGTGATTGTGGCCGTGTTCCCATTACTGACCATCATGTATGGTGACGTCATGTCAGAAACAATTCATCCAACACATTACAATAGTTTTTTTCTATATGATATGGCATCTGATATGGGCATATGGGCCACCAACAGGAACAAAACCCATATATATATATATATATTTATTTATTTATTTACTGATGAAAACACTCCTCAATGGTGTAGTATTGTGAAAACAGAACGGAGCAGCGACCAGGAAAAAACACCCTTGAGGTGGAAAAAAAACCTGGCCGATGCCCAAAACCAGAGCCACTCATGGACCCAGGCCCCGCTGCACAAACCCCAGAGGCCAAGAGAAGAAAAATTAAGAGGCATGCAGGCCAAATGCCCGACACAGCTTGGCCGAGTCAGGGCCAGCCAAAGATGGTCGGAAAAAGCAAGGATGCCTCTCACTGCCTCAGCAAAAAGCGGCCCGCACGCAAGGGTCGAAGACAACGAAGACCAGAAGAGATCGACGTGGCCATCCCAGCCGGAGTCCGGCAAGCCATCCGCACAACGACCAAAGCTCAAGCAACGAGCTCAGCACGGCGCCGCAGAGCAGCACGGCCCCTCCAGCTACGCACCAGCACGCAGGTTTCCTGCAACAAGGTGGGCCCGCCTGCGCCGCCTCCAGCAGCGCGGCTGATGTGAGCCAAGGCTTGGGCCGCCTCCGGCGCCCAAGCGCCCGTGGTTTCAATCACCATGGGGAGGAAGGTCACGTGCTGGGCTGCGCATGCATCAGCTGTGTCCAGGTGCCGGCGCTTGTAAGCACCATATGCCTCCGCAGCAGAAGTGTTTCCTGAACCACCAAGGGCGTCCAACCGCTGGGGTGCCGTGACGGCAAAGTCAAGTGCAGTTGGGCGTCCAAGGAAGGACGGGAGAAACACATCCGCAGGGCGGCGTCGGGCACTGGCCGCATCATCAGGTCGTTGTGGGAGAAGCAGGCCAGCCTTCTCACGCTCAGGGCGAAGACATCCTCGTTCGGCCCAACTGTGAACCAGGTCACGAAGGGCGTTGTGGCGAAGTGTACGCTCCCCACCAGCCATGCACATGCCAGCATGGTACCCATGCGTGTCCAGAATGGCATCGCATTTGGGGCACCATGTGTCGGCAGCAGCTTCTGCAATGCCCAGACGGACCCGGATCTCAGCCACGAACACCGCTGGCTCCATGCGTGTGCGGCCGGACGGCGCACAGGTCAGAAAGGCCCGAGCACCAGGCGTTGCCTCCGACAACAACGTGGCTTTGCCAACAGCGGAAGTTGCGTGGAGTTGGGCCTGCCACCCAGCACCATCTATTCTGCGGCTGAGGTCCTTCTGCGTGAGCCCCAAGGCAGCGGCGGCAGTGAGCTGCTGAGTTGGGTCCAGGCAAGCGTTGAGTGCCGACAAAGCGGCGGCCACATCTCCAGAATGGTCTAACCAGTAGCCGCCATCAAGCTCACCACAGAGTCGGGCACAAGCGCCAACTGAGGCAAGGTAGGCACCTGGCGCATGGACCTTAGTGGAGCGGAGCCCCAGGCCGGCTTGGCCCAAGCCACGGCTTGCTTGTTGCCACGCAGAAGCCTCAACATGCAGACCAGTGAAGGAGCTGAAACATTCTTGCACCAGGTAGTCAAACTGTTCCAATGCAGTCTCGTGCCCAGCGGGTGGGCTGCACCGCATGGTATGCACGAGCCTCGCGTAACCAGCGGAAGCTCGCAGCAGCCGAAGGGCAACCTGTGGATCTTCAAGTGCACCAATGGCTTCCAAAAGTTTGCGGGCACCCTCAACTCGACCAGTGGCATGCCTTTGCAAATACTCGGGCCCACCAATGCCAGCCCCGAGAAATTCAAAGTCACGGAGAATGCGATTGTTGCCATCGGAAGTGCTCACAAGTTGGGATGGTAGCTTGGCCGCAATGGCCGCGGCAGACGTCATGCCCACAGCGATGGCCTCACTCTTGCCCAAGTTCAACACTAAGCCAACTCGACCAGCAGCCTGCTGAAGTTGAGACAGGGCAGCTGTCACCGCATCAATGGGCCCAGCCAGCACCCCATCGTCCAAGTAGAACACCGAAAAGTCCAAGGCGGTGGTCCGAAGCGCTGCAGCCAGGGGATGGAGAGCAGCCGCAAAGAGCAAGGGTCCCAAGGGATCCCCTTGCTGGACTCCGCTGTTGGACTGGAGGACCGTGTCTCCGAACTGGAGGTTGGTGGCGTGCTGGTAGCACCACGTGCTCCAGCGGGCCAGAGCGGGAAACTTGTCCCGGGCCTGTTGTAAGACCACATCACGGCTGACAGTGTTGAAGGCGTTCTGGAAATCAACCTTCACCACGACCGAGTCGTGCGAAGCGGCATGGCGGCTGACACAAGCTCGCAGGCCATGGACCGCAGCTTCAGCTCCGCCCGGCACTGCAACACCTGCTTGGGCAGGCCAGAAGTGGTCCCGGGCCTCAGGCCGCACCGCTTGCATGAGGCATTTGCCGGTCAGGCGGCGAAGAAGCTCGCCTACCGCTATTGGGCGGATACCGCCAGACGGCTTGGGCAAAGCCACCAGCCCCGCACCAGCGAGCAGTGGAGCAATGCTTGGACAAGCCCGCCCTTGGGCCAGGAGGTTCACAACCGCAGTAAGCTGGTCCAGGAGCCCGACGCCATGCCCCACAGCATCCAAGACGTGCTGCACGCGGAGGCCACTAGGCCCCGGCGCCGTGTCTGAAGGGAAGCGGCGAAGGGCTTGCGTCACCGCATCGACATCGAACCCGGGCGCCAACGGCAAGCTCTCCAACGCAGGGACGACTGGTGCTGCAGATGTGGGGTGGAGGGCGCGCAGGGCTGCAACTGTTGCCTGGGAGTGGTCGCAGAGACCGTGCGAAAGCAAGGCTGTGCAGGCCTTCTTGTCGAAGCCTTCTCTGGCAAGGCCGGTGGCGAAGTCCCGCTTCTGCTCCGCCGTCATGTCACGGCCATGGGGCCGCTGCGGCTGAGGCCGACTGGCCCACAAAGAGGCCCGCTCGCCATCATTCCAACGCTTGAGGCGTTCGATGGTGAAGGCGGCTGCGGTGCGCTGATGTTTCCGGCCACCCCGGCGGGGGCTGCATAGCACACATTTGGGCAGCATAATAAGTAAATGAACCCAAGCGGCCTCATCGTTGTATTCAGCCACCGCCGCACATGCCCGAGTCAGTGCTTGCCCCCAAGCATAGCGGGCGCTAGGGGGAACATGCCGCAGAGTTGGCGTGTAGCTGCACTGGATCTCGGCTAAGGACGGAAGAGGGCCGTCAGTGTCCCTGGGGCCGCTCCCGACCGCACCGCCCACAGCCCGAGCAGCAGGCCTGCACGTGGGATGGATGCCGAAGCGAGTGGACACAGACAACCCGCACACCAAGCACTGCTGCAAAGAGCGATCTTGAAGCCAAGCCGAAGGAACCTGACCACTGAGCGAGCCCGCCAAATGAGCATCTACATGTGCTCGCAGGGTGCTGTCGGAGGTCCACCCACGGGCGGAGTTAGCATCCGCACAAGGGCAACCGCCCACCGGGCAGAAGAGCCGCCTAGGAGCAGCAGGACTGCCTCCATCGCATCAGCCCCTCCAGCGCCTTCCGGCGGCCGCCGCCGGGGGCGCTCCCCACCAACGGGAGTGCCCGGAGCAGGGACCATGGCTCAACAGAAATCAATGCATACTCTGTGGTAATTTCAGTAGCCACTGATACTTAACATTACTTAACCAGGGTTTCTGGGGGATATTTGAACTTTGGGCAATGGACATATCTATGAATAAGGAAGAGCCGGGGCGAACATAGATAACTCCCCAGTATTCTTAGAACATTATATATCGGGTTACATGGTCAACATTATATCAGCCTAATGGATCCTAATAGTATAATTTGCAGTTTCACTAGCCAATCTTGTCCTCCAGTAATATCCAGAAATGAACTTGCATCCCCTACGGTTTGTCCAGAAACGGGGTATACCCTGTGGCATACCCCAAAATTCCCCGCTATGAAGTCATTTATGGTCCCTTGGAATTCGGTGGGTAGCCTATGTTCGAGTGGTCAGACGGGTGAAGTCCAGTTTCCCGCCGTCACATGCCAGGCATCTGAGCTGACACCAATGGCTGCCATGTGATCATCCACCTTTGGGATCGGTAGCAGCGAGGCATAAATGCACAATGTACAGTAATCCATGTGGATGAGACTGAGGTAAAGAACATAAGAACCAGCAAACCAACCCACACACACACACACACGTATATATACATATATATATATATATATGTGCGTGTGTTACTGATATAGATATATATGTAATATAATATAATCATATACACAAAGAAAACCCTAAGAAAATTATATACTATGTACAATAACTTATAGATTAACTATAGTAACTATGAACACAGGGGTGCCTCAACGTGTTTTTTTATTTGCAGTCCGTCCTCCAGGCTTTCAACCGAGATGCTGTTTCCAAACCTGGGCCGGTGAGCTCACATCTGGGCCCTTGAGCCACCCAAGATACCCAAGGTGTTCTCGTTAAGTGGGATCCTTTCAATGGGATATTCCCTGAAATTTAGGCCTTATATATGGTAGGTACCTCCAATGAATCGGTTCCTGAGATGGCCAGTGATCCTTCCATTTTTGAACATCATTTTGAATGTGAGCAAGTACTGAAAAACCACCAGCGAAATGAAATATACTTTGTCCAATGGCTCGTTTGATTCCCACTCCAACGTACCCCTACTTTGGGAAGTTCGGACTGGTTTGCCTTACTTACAGTTGAAACTTTTTGAAGTTTTCTACAATATGGGGCCCCCGGTAGATAGCTAAGTTGGTTCAAACCCCCATTAACTAGCTCGTCATAAGTTTCATAAACATTCATAAACCATAATAGTTATTGGAGTTATATGGTGGTTTCCTAAAATGGGGGTACCACCAAATATTTCCATTTTAATAGGATTTTCCATTGTAAACCGTCCATTTTGGGGTACCCCCATTTATGGAAACCTCCATACGGAGTTCTAACATGTTATAACCAACTTAGCTATCCAACTAAGGGGCCCCACATTGTACCATCACCACCTCCACTGCCATGTGACCGATGCCGCTGTCCATGCCATCCAGACGTCCAGCCTGCACCACGGGCGCCGCAATCTGCCACCAGCGCTGGTACTCCTCTGCGCGCTGCGCCATGTTCCTGGACGCGGCTTGGGATGGACTGGAGGTGCTGGGAAAATTCGACAGGAACCCATGGGAATCCATGAGAAACCAATGTTTTTGCCCAAAAAAATGCGTTTCCTGCTGATTTTCAGAACCATTCTGAGATTTGTATAGTCTAGGAATAAAACAATTGAAAATTGGGACCTGCTATCACTTGCCATGCTGGGAAGTGATTCGTAGACACTTCGTAGACGAAAATGAGCAGGGTCAAGAACCATCATCGAGGCTATTGACCTGCTCAAGGGCCGAAATCATTGGATTTCCCGCATTTCCTTTGCTTTTTGTTCATGGTTCCTGACAGGATCTTGTTTTACCCAAAGCCCACAATCATAGCCAACAAAAGTGGAGTTAATTCATCATTTGCGTTGCCAAAATCCAATATAATTTCTTTGTTAAGTATATCTTAATGGACACATTTTTGATTGGTTGGATTAGCCAAATCCAAATTTGGTTTGCTTAGGTCCCGCTCTTTCTTGGAGGTTACAACCCCTAAATCTAACATAGAAGCCAATACTGGCTATATTCAAGTTCGGAAAATGATCATACAGAGCCAATGTTGAACTTAGTGCTTCCATATTTCAAAATTTTGGGAAGTGTAACCCCAAATCAGGAAATCAAATTACTTTACTTCGTGTGATCCCCACCATGACATTTATACATTTTCTTACTGGCAAATCTTCTGGCATTCTATCTGACATATCTTCTGGCATTCAATCTGGCATTCTATCTGGCATATCTTCTGGCATATATTCTGACATATCTTCTGGCATTCTATCTGACATATCTTCTGGCATATATTCTGACATATCTTCTGGCATATCTTCTGGCATATCTTCTGGCATATCTTCTGACATATCTATCTGGCATATCTTCTGGAATATTTTCTGGCATTCTATCTGGCAAATCTTCTGGCATTCTATCTGGCATTCTATCTGGCATATCTTCTGGCATATTATCTGGCATTCTATCTGGCATATTTTCTGGCATATATTCTGACATATCTTCTGGCATTCTATCTGGCATTCTATCTGGCATTCTATTTGGCATTCTATCTGGCATATCTTCTGGCATATCTTCTGACATTCTTTCTGACATTCGTTCTAACTTTCTTCTACACATTCTTTGTCCCATATCTTCCTACATGAGGTCCGGCAGGGAACACTTGGCGTGGATACTGGCGGTTGAGGTCCGGCAGGGAACACTGGGCGTGGATGGTCGTGGTTGAGGTCCGGCAGGGAACACTGGGCGTGGGTGGTCGTGGTTGAGGTCCGGCAGAGAACACTGTGGATCGCGGGTCGCAGTTGAGCAAGGACGACGAGGACGACGAGGACGACGAGGACGACGAGGACGACAAGGACGACAAGGATGACAAGGAGGACGAGGAGGAGGAGGAGAGGAGGACGAGGCAGGAGGAGGAGGAGGAGGAGGAGGCAACTGACATAAAATCTAACAACCCTCACCTGGCAGGTGGGGAAAAACACAATTTGCAAGGTTTCTCCACATTTTCCATTAGACCTCTATCAAAAAAACATAGGAAAATCAATGGAAAAATCGGGATCCCAACCACCCCTAGTCGGCTGCCATCGAAGCCAGCGGCTGGAAATTTGCAGAAGTCCAACCTGCACAATTTCCAGGTGGGTGGTGTTGTTCGTCGGCTTCCGTCGGGTAAAGGTTTGGGACAGGTTTTGACAAGAAAGCCCAGGCAACATCCATTTTTTACAATTTTTGAACCTAATGAATTATATGTATATATATATATGTGTGTTTATTTATTTATGCAATATATAGATGGAGGATTCCTAAAATGGGGATACCCCAAAACCATAGATACCATAGATTTCAATACTCTCTCTGGCCTAAGTTTAGATGATTTTGGGGTACCACCATTTCAGGCAACACCCAGATGGGAAAATCCATGGAAAATCCATGAAAACCCTACGTTGATTTTTTTTGATGGGAAAACCCATGGTTTCCAATGATGATGTTCCATAAACAACACACCCAGGTAAAGAGTTTCAGTTTCTGCAAAGCATGGATCCAAACAACTGGGTGGTACAGTAACGCCGTGTTGAACATCCTGACAGGGATAAATTGGAACTACTGGGATGTACTTGAAAGGTTGCCATAAATTGTGTTGTCCGGAAATCTCATTAAATATGTTGCTATTGGTTCGGAGGAGCAACCAGCAATGCTGGTTGCCACTGTCATCATCCTGTGTCAAGCAACGATAGTCTTCCACAAAGAACGGCATGTACTTGGCTTTGAAGTCCTTAGACGCATGGGATTTCATGGGGTTCTCCGGCAGAATGGTGATCTTAAAAAAAAAAACAGTGGCCTTAACCACTAAAAGTTGGTACTTTATCACTACCAGCTGTGACTTGAAAGTTAAATCATAAACTTAACCTCCCATAATTGGGACTTGCATCTCTATATATATATATATTTACACATATATGTATATATAGATACATATAACATCGCGGTCACCAGAAATGGTGTGAAATATAGTTCCGGCGTTTTTTTATGTGCAAGTTGTCCTGGTATTCCAACATGGCAAGGGCAAGCCACCGTTGGAACCCAAAAAGGGGGACAATCATAGGCCAATTCTGATTCTGGGACAACCATCAGTTACGCCCAAAAAGCGTAACATTTTTTTTTACCACCTGTTAGGATCAGGCAGGACGGTTGAGGGTCTCAAAGGCAGTTCAGCAGGCGCAACATGCCCAACCTGGAATGGTTTCAATCCAGTTTTGTTTCCAGATCCTTGTCCTGGACACCAGGAACCAAAATAACATTTTTGAACACCTGCCTATGAATAAACCAAAAAAGACACTATCTGTTTGGTGGTATACCTACCCCTCTGAAAAATATGAGTTCGTCAGTTGGGATGATGACATTCCCAATACCCTCTGGTGAACTAACATAGCAATGGAAAATCACCATTTTTGATAGGTAAACCATCTATAAATGGGCCATTTTCCATTGCTATGTTAAATTACCAGAGGGCACATGGAAAAATAAAACATGTTCCAAACCACCGGCGCCTGAAGAGTTGGGCAATTTTTTGGGATAGCTAGCCCAATCCAAATCGTTCCCGTGACCGAAGGGCGAAGTGAGAGACTGTTACCCTCTGGTAACCATACAAAAAACTATGGAAAATCACCATGTTTCATGGGAAAACTCGCTATAAATGATGATGTTCCATAGTTATGTTAGTCATTACCAGAGGGATCCAGAGGGTATCATTCACCCAAGAATGGTGTCCTTTTTCTCGTGAACATTCACATCACCCTATAACCATCTATAATCAAAGATCATCAAAACCAGGTATTTTTTGATTCCCGCCCAAAGTCAGCACGAAGCGACGCGTTTGACGCGGCCAAGGCTCATCAAGCACTTGACTGGAATCTTCCGCCTCACCCTTGTGTTGCTTGATCAGCTCCAAATATTTCTTCGTGGATCCCATCAGGCAGTACCTAAGGCTGGAAGATGCTGAGTTTCCCAGGCGCCAGGTGGGGAAAAAAAGTCGCTGGCTCCTGGGTAATTCCACGTTTCTTCATGACTTCATGGTGGTCCATCCTAGTTCATGGGATACAAAATCCCTACATTACGAACAGCGGGATGATGGGTGTTTCCATGTAGAACCGGGATGAACTGGGTGAACCACCAAGTACTTGCTTGAACAACAAATGCTGCCTACATCCTAACACTAGCTACTAATAAGAACACAAAAAGCCAAGAGGGCCACTTTCGGGGCGTGAAATCTTCGTTCAACATATCAATGGCTGTGTCACTTCGCCAACTTGGCCTTTTGTGAATCATGTTCTACCCTCCGGTTATTTAACATAGCCATGGGAAATGGCCCATTTATAGATGGTTTACCTATTGAACATGGTGATTTTCCATGGCTATGTTAAATAACCAGAGGGTATATCTTCACACATCTTCACTATGGAGGCTAGTCCCATTTTCCTGGACTTTTGGCGAAGTTTTCACGACCCCTCAATACGTACATTGTCGTCATATATCTATCTACCTACCTATCTATCTACCTATCTATCTGTCTATCTATGTGCGTACAAGGCTTTCTTAAGACTTGAAACAGGAATAATTAAATAGTTCTCAATTGACATCTGCATTTGTTAGGCTCAGAAATTATTCACCTGAATTGTCTATGTTTTTTCTTCCTTTTCCTGGCTAAATCCTACCTTCGGTGATTAAATCTATACACCCTCCAGTAATCAAACATGGCAATGGAAATCCACCCTCGATAGATGATTGTCCCAGCTCTAAACTTAAACCTCAACCTCCATTTCTAGTATTTGAACTTGTCAAGGATTTCAAAAAGGTGAAGGTTGAGATTTGCATTCTCTGAGGCGCTCAAGTTGCCATTCCCACCGCATGCGGAGTTCGTCAACGAACAACAAACCCAGGGTGTTGAGTTCTCCGCTGCTCGTGCCGAGGAGAAGGCACCTCCGCCTGTACCACCTCCTGCTGCCACCTTAAGCCTATGGCAGCAGCCACATCAATGAGAGCTGCGGCCTTTTTAGGGCCAATCAGGTGGCTTATGAGCGACCCTCTGAAGAGCTCGCATGAGCGCTGGGCAGCGTCCGTTTTCTCCAATTCACTCACCATGTGGGAACGGACCAACATGGGTGAACTTCCGGTATAGCCGAATTCTGGAGGGATAACCAATCCCCCTGTGGCGCGGATTGCTCCAGCCAAATCCTCGAAGGTGACAATGGCTGCCATCCCTCTGGCATCGCCGAATTTGATTTCTGTGTTTACCACATCAGCCATTAATAGCCATAAATATCCATTAATAACCATGAATAACAAGTGAATGACCTCAAGTATAATGGGTTAAAGAAATCCCAATTGATTCATTGATGACAATTACCCCCTTGTAAACTAACATAACTATGGAAAATCACAATTTTTAATGGGTAAATCCACTATCAGAGGCCATTTGAAATAGCTATGTTAGTTCCCAACGCCGCCCCCAGGCAACTGGTCACGAAACCTTTTTGTTTGTTGTTTTTAGGGTTGGGGTGGGGAGGGGGATGTTAACGTCCCTGTGAACTTGCTCACGTCATGTATGCTTCGTGAACTTCGGGGTTTGGGTGGGGTGGGGGGGGATGTTAAAGTCCCGTGAACTTGCTTACGCCATGTATGCTTCGTGAACTTAGGGGTTTGGGTGGGGTGGGAGGGATGTTATCGGCCCTGTGAACTTGCTCACGTCATGTATGCTTCGTGAACTTCGGAGTTTGGGTTGGGTTAACGTCCCTGTGAACTTGCTCGCGTCATGTATGCTTCGTGAACTTCGGGGTTTGGGTGGGTGGGTGGATGTTAACGTCCCTGTGAACTTGCTCACGTCACGTCTGCTTCGTGAACTTCGGGGTTGCCTGGGTTATATATATATATATCTATACACAATAATACACAATGAAAATCACATTTAGATACATATATTATATTTGTATATAAACATGTGCATACATATACATTTATTTTCACTATTACATACATATGTACATATCTTCTTGTTTATATTTATGCACTTTCTCAAACAATTGGCCAAAGCTTGCAACGCTCGCTGATCATGGCGCAAGAACAAAAGTGCACAAGGCGCAATGAACAAAAGGCACCAAAAAACACCAGTTGCCCAAGGGCGGCGCGACCTGTTAGTTTACCAGAGGGATCCAGAGGGTAACTCCTTGTTTTTGTGGGTCTCGTATTCTTTTCGCTCAGCTGCTCCACATTAGCTTCCAACAGCTTCCGCATTTCGCTGAAGAAGTGTTGCCGGTCCCCGTCAAAGGGCTTCAAACCTGCCGCACAGCTACGGTTTATGATCTCACAAAAACCAATGGTGAACGACATGGAAATCACAATCATTGCTATGTAAATATTAATAGCTGGTGGATATGTCCAATAGTTGGTGGTTATTTCTCCAATGGTCAATAGTAAAAATGACCAATGATCTACTTTCGTAGCTGATCAAGGTGAAAAAAACCTGGAGATCCCCGGTGATTTGCAGTTGAGGAGACTGGAGGCAAACCATGGTTAGTTTGTTCAGCCATCCATAGTTGTTTTTTGGGGGGGGCTGTGGTGGTGTATAAAATAGTGTGTATATATATATACATACATACAATACACACACACACACCACACATATATATATATATATATATGTGTGTGTGTAGCATCCATCCATCCATCCATCCATCCATCTATCCATCCATCTATCCATCCATCCAGCCAGCCAGCCATCCATCCATCTGTTGGTCGATGGAGATATGATATCAAATGTGGCCTCACCATCCTCACATCCCGGAGTCCCGGAGCAATCCTTACCTGTCTCTTGAAACAAAGGATGGATCTTCCGCTTGCTCCACTCATATGAATAGCCGGAGAGCCGCAGGGTCTCCACAAAGAGCATGTCTGCAAACCTGGGGCCGAAGGCCAAAGGCCGGTAAGAAGTCTGACTCTGAAAATGTTCAATCCCCCTCTGAAAATGGGAAGTTAACTGTCTTGTATGACTGAGAATCGTTGATATATATATATATATATGTATATATACATACATACAAACATATATATATATATATATTTAGATATGTGTGCATAGTGGTACAACATGCATATATATATATATAAATATATGCATGTATATGTATATGCATATGTAATATGTATATGTAATATGTATATGTGATATGTATATATCATATTAAAATAATACATATGTAATACTGTAGTTAATAGTGTATAATATTGAAAATTGTTTACCCTCTGGCCCTCTCTGGTAATTGAACATAGCCATGGAAAATAGTCGTGGAAAAAAAAGCATCTACAAATAGATGAGTTGCCAACAGTATGTGAAACTACTAAAAAGTATAGAGTCTGTTTGTAGATATCCCCACGTTGTGGTAAACCATTGTAAACACGTCAATTGCACAACCAAATATCATAATTCAATGACGCGGAAATAGCTGTCATCATAAGGCCAAAACTGAATCAATTTGGGGCTGGTTCGGAGAATCCCATCATTCAACGTCACGACGTCACGACGTGAGTTGCCATTTTTTCCCGCCCGACCTTATCTGGTTCTGGACTAATTCATCCGGATATAATGACAATGATATATCATATCTACATAGAATATGCATCTCATTGAATCACAAGGATATACTCAGTTTTCTTGCTCTTTAACGTCAACAAAGATGGCTGGAGTTTCAGGAGTTTCAAACGTCACACAGGCGTTACTTTTTTCAGCCAAGAAACACCATGGTCGTTGCTTCCGACATCATCCGGTAGATGATGTAGGTGCGTCTGAGATCGTCTGAGGGCCCCGGTTTCGAAAACAAATGGCAGTGTGTCAAACCAATAGTACCCCTGGTGAACATCAAAATAGCTGGTAAATGGATGTTCATCCCACTAAAAATGGTATTAATAGGTATTGATCCATAGCCAAGTCTGAAACATCAAGAATGCTTGGAACACAACAAAGTGATTTCAGGGGGAAATGTTGAGGAAATGGTACGTTCGGTTTTGCCATCCAATGTTTTTGTGGTTTGCCTGTCTATTCTCCCACCAAGCACCTACTGCCACATGTCAACTGCAGCCGCACCCTCTTTGTAAATTGAAAATTGCCGGAGGGTTGATGCTAATTGGTGCTGACATATAATGACCCAATACAGATATGTCTGAATATGGGATACATGGATACCCATCCCATGTAGTATAAAAAAAACACAATAGGACAAGATGGAAAAACCATTTACAAACCATCCTTTTCTGGGTGTCTTTCTGTTGTTTCAAGCCCAAGGAGTTCCCAGTTACCGCTCGATATCCAATATATCCAGGACCTGGCATTGATGGAGGTATTGCCAGTGAAGACCAAATCTGGAATGAGAAAATGCCTCAGTTGGAGCGGCCACTCGACTCTTCGCCGTGAGTGGTTTCCCCCGGTCTCCGGTAAGGTACAGTCGAGGGCTGAAGTCAGAGCAATTTTCTTGAATGTGGACAAACCGCTTGCGGAAAAGTCGCCACGACCGGGTCACAGCAGGGTCACAGCAATCCATCAAAACACAAGGGGATTGCCTTCATTTGAAGGGTACAAAGTACCATTATAACAAACACGAGAGAGCCCACCCCTCGCACTGCAGACTACTCTTCTGCCAGCACTGCTTTGCATTACAAACAATCATTCTGCCACAATGGTTTGATTTGAGAAGGAGTAAGACTGAGTGAACCCCTGAACGACCCCCGAACGACCCCTGATTCATGAGTTGTCAAGCGCATTGACCACAACATGAGGTGCGAAACTCCCTGCGCCACCGCACCCCATGTACAGATGGGACCAACAAGGAATGAGGACTTGGTGACCGATCAGTGACTGGATGCGACTGGCCTTGTCTAAGCGGGTAGTGTACTCTGGGGGGATGTTTGTCAACCTCCGAAAATAGTGACCATCAATCCAAGCATCAAACATCGTTCTTACGTCGGGATGGAAAAATCAAAACATGCTTGACCAAGTCGCGATTGACCAGCAACGATAGGATACAGTATCGGATACAGCCAGCCAAACTTGATAAGCAAGCGCCAGCCCGCAAAAATCCCACAAACATGAAGGGACCACAAACCACACGTGGAGGCAAAACATGGCAAAACCGCCCAAAATTGGCATACTGATCCATGATGGGAGTTGAACATCCCAAACAATGGAACGTGTACCCTATCCACAACACTTAAACAGGAGCATCCTACAAGTTGGGTATGCAACCTATGTCTGGGACTATTATGGTTTATGGCACTGGCTTTACACATCTCCAACACCTAAAAGAATCAGCCGCTCCCTGCAAGGTGGTGTTTGAGAGTTACCAAAGTTATCCAAAGTTGGTAAGTAGCTTAAGTCACTTAAGTCCAGTTTATGGTAGATATATCATGAAATATCTACACTTCATTGGCTTTACAAATCAAGAAACATCATCCACCCTGTGGATAATTCATCTGTAGCCCACGAAATTCGCCACACAAGGTGCTGGCCCCCAGTTATAAGTTGGTTTATAAATCTATAACTTATAACCCCCATTAACTAGTTCGATTAATAACCCCCGAATCAACCATCACCAACCCTAGGCAGTTATTGGACTTATTTAAGCACCAACTTAGTTATGGATATACGTGCCCTTGCAGGCCCTTCCAGGCGTGCCAGTCTCACCAAGGAACCCGAAGTCGTGGGCCGTGAAGGTGATCTCATGGATTGGATCCTTTTTCGCCACGAAGGGAATGCCTTGCCACCAAAAGGCTGCGACGGGACCATAAGCCTGCTCAGATTAAAAACTGGATCCATGTCAAACCCCAAACTTAGGATTTACATATGTAGATTCTATTTGTATATGTATATAATATACAGTATATATATATGTTTAATCCAGTTGTCGCCCCAACAAAAAAACGTTTACCAGTGAACGTCGTTGCGTTGCCCCCGGCGCCTGCATTGAGCCCTGGCAACCAATAGTTGAGCTCCCGTCGCGACTGAGCGCTGCGAAAGAAAGCGCCATTGTTCCTGGGCAATTTGACCATTTAATCAAATCATGAAATCTATAGGAAAAGACTTGAGACATATAAATATAAACTTAACAGGGATGGAGACATCTAATACACATAATTTTGTTAAAGTAACCTATATATATATATGTTATATACGTATTTATACGTTTTTGTCTAACCCATATGTATATCATTTTATCACATGTATTATATCAATCAATGGTGGAGAAAATGGGATATACATATATATATATATATAAGTACAAAAATAATTAATAGGGATATCAGGGATTTTGGCTGAATCATAATTGTGCACTAACCTGAAAATAGCTGTTTCACGACGTGACATGACGTGAGGTCATCATAATTCACCGAGAATAATGGAAAATAACGGACATACCCTCCGGTAATCAAAAGTGGCAATGTTAAATCCCCTATAAAAGGAGGTCTTAATTGGAACATAATCTGTATATAAATGGGTGATTTTCCACTGACATGCTTGATTACCGGAGGGTAATCAAAAAAAATGGGTGGGGTCAATCAACAATTTTAACATATACATGTACATATATTGGAGGTACACTGGACAATTACCCTTCAGAAAAAAAAAAACACACAAACAACACATACAGAAAACCAAGGTCTCAGTAAGAAATGATGCCAGTGCAAACTGCATCCCAGCTTGCCTCTTTCCTTTCATCATATTGGCACATACGCCCTCTAAATTTACCTTGGCCCCCCCAGGTCGTTGAGGATTTTCGATTTTGGACATTGCAATTCTGACCTGTCATGTCACTTACCCTCTGGTAATTTAACAGTTTGCTATTAAAAATGGTGATTTTCCATAGTTATGTTAGTTTACCAGAGGGTACGGGGTGTAGGCATCAAACAATATGGAAATCGTTGGACTTTAAGGAATTCAATCAAAGACTTTAAGCATCATAGGATCATGGACTTGGTGTACATTGGCAGAATCTGGGAGGATTTTTCGACGATGGGTTTTGCCATCCCGAAGACCATCGATCAAGGTTTGTCAGCTGGATTTCCTGTTGATATTCCTATTTGTGGCTGGCTAAATGGGTTGAATCACGAAAAGGTTTGGGCTACAGTTCGATAACCATGAAGTGACCCACCATGGTTATAACAAATGGGATTTTGGGGTGGTCTATGTTCAATAAAAACCCATCTATTATCATCCATTCCTATTTCCCACTTTTGATCACTTTATCATGATAATCCCCGAAATAGTGCCCCCCAACTGACCATCATGTCAGTCATTTCAGTGAAGTCGCAATGATGCAGTGAAGTCGTAATCAAATTCAGCAGCATACAGGATAGGCCCCCCCAATTATAAGTTGGTTTATAACCCAGTAGAAACCAATATAAGCCCCATTAACTATAGTTATATAATATATACATATAATTAAATCTACCATAAACCTGCAACAGGGGTTTAAGTTTCTCCACTATAAATGGAGGTTGATATGGTTAACTATAGTTATATTATATCTACCATTTTATAAATCCCCTTATAGTTAACTTTACTGCACCCCAGCGTCGCCACCGCGATGAAGACACCGCTCAAACCACTCCGCTGCGCCACCTTGCGGAGCCGGGGGGGTTTTAATCATAAGAATCTACCGGGCAGAACATCATTCACGGAACAAGTTTCATGCTTTACCCATCTAAAAACCCTGTGAACATCTGTGTTTTATCATGGTTTTATCCACCACCCTATGAAATCTATGAAATTCTATGCGTTATATTGCTTTACTGGTTGGTGGTGCAATAACCATCTTGAAAAATATGAGTTCGTCAATGGGAAGGATGACATCCCATATATGAAATGGAAAATAACAGCCATGTTTGAAACCACCAACCAGTTGCTATTGGTAGCTCAGACAATGTTAGTGGCCCAGCCATAAGTCACAGTTATTAGTTGGTAGTCCCCAGCCATGGGACTATTTCCACTATAGTCTATACCCTCTGGTAAACTAACATAGCTATTGAAAATTGCCATAGAAATAGTGGATTTTCCCATTAAACATGGTGATTTTCCATAATAAAACCATCAATGTGTTTTTAATTCACCAATTGATGAACAAATGCTGCGCGTACAGCAGCCACCGGAGGTCACAACTCGGCTTCCGGCGGTGAAACCGCGCCTCGTTGTTGAAGAACTCATTCTGTGCCACGAAACTGGCCACGGACTCGGAGTCCGCAAAGGAGATGGTCTTCGAAAATCCTTTGGACCGATTTTTGGTTATGGAAGAGTCGGATCCGGGATGGTAAAAAATAAACTCCCGCTAAATCACTGTGAACATCTATGACATCACCCTAAAAGTTCCTATGAAAATCTTGATGGTTAAAGCCCACGGATTATCATACCCTCCAGTAAATCAACATAGACCCTGCCAAATAGGGCTTGGAAGATTAGTTTCCAATAAAAGGAATGGTGATTTTCAGGTGTTATGTAGTTAATTTGCCAAAGGATAACTAGAAGGCGGAGACCCTTAATTACTTATAGTTAAGTTGATGCAAATAACTGGGTTAACTATGGTTAACTGTTAACTGGGATTTATGGGGAGGTGATAGTCTGGCTATAGTTACACTACTGGGGGTTCTAGCCAACTTAGCAAAAAAAAATAGTCAATCATAACCCATATGCTCCATGTATGGTATATTTACCTACATGTGGGTGATTTTTAGGGCAAATGTAGGTAAATATACCATACATGGAGCATATGGGTAAGAAAATATGTTCCAACACACCTTCGTAATTTGAAATGTCAACAAGGCCTGCGGATTCGGTGCACCATTTTCATCACCACCTGTTGGTTAAATAAAAACTGAGTCAAACACAATATCAACCCACCTCGAAACCGACACACCCCAACTGCCTCAGTATTCCGTCATGTTCCCCTGTTACTGAGAAAATCTGAAGGTGACTCAGCATTTTTTTGACCAACAAGTTATGTCAATCATTGTCAATCTATTTCAGACAAGCATCGTTGATGAAATTTGTTGTTTTCCGTTGTTTGTAGTGAACATGATCAATGAGCCAACGATTCACGTTGAAGTCGCGGGGAGAGAATTTCAGGCGCAGTTTGAGCATGTCTTGATAAGTCTTGCCAGTGCCTCAATTGAGCAGAGGCGTATTCAAGCAAAGTTGGTTTATAACGTAGTTGACTAGGGTTTATGGCAGATGTAACTACATATATTTAACGGGGTTTTGTAAAGCAACTTCTAACTGGGGAGGGGGATGATGTTGAAGTTGACGATGAGGACTATGGAGGGGAGGCAGACCAATCCAATTTAATACAGCTGATAATATTTTATCTGGTTGGTGGTATACCTACCCTTCTGAAAAATATGACTTCGTCAGTTGGGATGATGACATTCCCAATATATGGAAAAATAAAACATGTTCCAAACCACGTAACCAGTTATTTACAAAAGCTGCGAGTTGATGTTATAGGTGTGGGTACAATCATTCCAGAAATGTTGGCCCTGGACACTCAGCCATTTCGATCCACAGATTTTCCAGGCCAACAAAGCTCAACGACTAAAACACAGATACCCTCTGGTAAACATACAAAAAGCGACATAGAAAATGGCAGAAATAGTGGATTGACCCATGAAAAATGGTGATGTTCCATCGTTTTTTGTATGTTTACCAGTTTACCAGAGGGTATCAAATACGATTCATGGATATTCATGGATTTATCCCATTTTCAGACACCAAGTGAAAAGCCAATGGCCACGGTGCTGGTCAGTACCACCACATCATCCCAGCCAAAGGCCCCGGTCCCAGCCAAAGGCTTCTGTTTTTGGTCCACGTAGCCCTCCACGGCACTGGAGTAGGTCGAGTGGACCAAATGTCCTCATTCAAAATGAGGAATTCAGCAGCCGTGACCGGTTTCAGCAATTAAAAAATCAACCATCATCAAAAACAATGTATATAACATAATCTGGGTAAATTATAATATTTCACATTATTTCACTAACCTGAACTGAAGCCATTTGTGAATTATAATTTACCCAGATAATGTAATAAGAGTTGGAATTAAAATAAATGGACATAAATGGCCATCAAACAATTATTGGGATTTTAGCAGCAAACAGGCAGTGATGTCACCATCAAAGATTGGTAGCTCAACCAACAGTTATCGCACCAAACTCCCCTGCGAACAGGTCTCAATCATGTTCAGGCCCAAAATCTGGGGAGCTTTATGTGGCTAGCACGAGAACACTCATGTGGGAAACTCGACCGGTAGCTCCACCTGGCTCCCCATTCAAAGTCATTCAAAGTCGGAAATCTGGATCCTCCTAACCACTGGAAAGATATGAGAAAACAAGCATATCCAATCACAAACACCAACTGAAGATAATTGGGGATTGTTTATTGTGCAAAATATATCAGGTTTACCGAAACGCCTCATGACGCCGTTCTTTCTGTAACTACCGGCGTCCGATATCGTCCGATCCCTGGATGATTTTCCCAGCTATAAATCTCCACTAGGATTTCCTAGCAGGCATTAAGCTAGTGACCACCCTGCTTAGTAAGTGGCCAAGGTTAAAAAACTCCGCTGGAATTATCACATGGTATACATCCCATGTATGGGCTTGACTAAAACTGCTGCATCTGCATTCCCAATTATGGCCCACAATGCTTAGTCCCCAAACAGTCCTTGATGGGAAGGTTCATCCAAGTAGTGGGTGACCAATCTTAGATACGTAAAAAAAAATGCACATCTAGATATTTTAGCCAATACTAATTTAGCTGGCCAGTACTAGATAATTATTTACATTAATTAGTATATAGTCATCCCCCGAAAAATAGATAAACCAAATTCCCCTTTGAATTGGTGAAGATTCATGTTTCGATCTTTGGGGGTTACTATAACTGGTTAGTGGTTGACCTACCCCTCTGAAAAATATGAGTTCGTCAGTTGGGATGATGACATTCCCAACATATGGAAAGTCATCAAATTCATGTTCCAAACCACCAACCAGATTATGTGGGTAAGTTAGATGTTCATTCCCAATATCTTCCCAATAATGTGGGTAAAACAATGCCATAAAGCACCCAAAAAATGGGGGGTTACTATAATTATGTTCCAATTCCTTGGCCCAATGACTTGACATTGCCAATCTTAGATACCCTGCCAAAAAAATGCTGGTTAGTAGATATTCCCATTGATACCAAAAGACTAAAGGATTAGAGTACCCATGTAAGATTGACCCAGTAGAGTACCCATGGATTTACCCATTAATAGCATGGTGATTTTCCATAGTTTTTTGTATGTTTACCAGAGGGTATGTTCCAATATTCCTTGGCCAAATGACTTGAAAGTCACAACCTCTGTGGAATTCGCCCCAGGCACTTGACCTAGTTGGCGCGGGATCCACGGGGATCTCCGCGTAGCCAGCCGCTGGCGTCACAGTGTGCACGGTGTCCACGTCACCCGTGGCCCCCGGAGTGGTGTGAAGAGCTGTGGCCTAACCATCATTCCAGTGACGTCAGGACATGAGGTCAATAAAATTCATCCTTATCTGGTTGGTGGTTGAGCTACCCCTCTGATCACCGGATGGTAATTCTAAACTATAGTGGTAAACCAAACTTACCCTCTGCTAAACGTTTACATAACTATGGAAAATCACCATTTTGAATTTCGACTGGGCCATTTTCAATAGCTATGTTAAATTACCGGAGAGTAATTCATCCTAATGTTACATCATATATCATATATCCCCATAATTTAATATATATATATATATATATCCCATCATCTCCTTCTTGGCTTCAGCCCCCCTTCCGTGTCTTGAAGTGGTTCTTGAAGCGGTTTTTGGTGGTTAACAGTTCAATAAGCCCACACATTAGTTAATGGGGGGGTGTCACTCTTGGGGGGCTGGTTGAACATCCATAAAAACAATGCTTGAAACCACCAACCCATCATATCTTTGTTCTATCTCTGCAAATCTTGATGCAGAACCACCTTCCCAGCCCACAAGTCCTCAAATGCCCTGCCTGTTGATGAAATTTTGCTTCCTCAGCAGGGACAATCAGAGACAACTTGTGAAAACGATTCGGCACAAAGCCGTGCTTTGACAGGCACAGAGGCGTGCTTGTGACCCAATCTATTATATCTATATCTATATCATTCTATATCGCTTTCTGAGGGATCAGCGGCGCTTCCCAACAACTAGTGCTGTACAAACTGTTTCAACATGGATGTTCGATACGTATGTTTTGGCATGTGTTTTGCAGCTCGAATCCGAATCGTTTGTTCTATAAGTCCGGGACTCCAACAATATGGCGTTTTGCCATTGACAATGATCCATGTCTCACGCTTTCCGCCCTCATAATGTGGAAATCCTCAAATAATTAAACAAAAATGCATCAACAAGTGCTGCTCAATTGCCAAGTGCTGATTGGGAGTGCTGACCTACACAAGTCAAAACATGTCAAACCTTGGCTGAATGATCGATGGAACAAGTCAGGGTAAAACGTTAGGCCTTGGTTGCCTGCAAAGATGTGTGCACAATTTTTACTTGGATTTTGAGCAACACCAAATCACTTGATTCCTTCATTGCATGGCACCAAAAAGAAAAGGATGGACCATTCCTGATTGGTGGTTTCAACCCCTCTGAAAAATATTAGTCAATGGGAAGGATTATCCCATATATGATGGAAAACAAATCATGTTTGAAAATTTGAAGCCACCAACCAGATTCATATCAAATTCATCAGTTTATTCCTCGCTGATGATTTTGTTCATCATTTTAGCTCGGTTCAGCCGCTTCAGCTTCCCAGAACACCCTGGTGGTGATCTCCCCAGGACTTCATGACTGGTTCACTCAGCCGTCCGCTCTCCGCCATGGCTCTCGGATTTGTGCTGCCTCATCTTTCGGCAATTCATAAGCGTCCTGAGTTCAGACCAGCAGTTGCAATGGGGGGGTCAATCAACGGAGTGGAGAAATGCAAAATGCTTGGAGCTTGGATCATAGGGGTTGCTGGTAGTGCAAATCAATTCTCGGAGTTCAAGGTTGGCAAGTCATGTTGTAGATCCCTATGGGGTTCCAACACCTTATTCTTCCATGTTTCTTTTGCCCAGTGCAATTTTCCTGTCATGGCTAAACCATACTAAACCTGGATACCGTGGGGAAAAACACACATGTTTTAGATGTTTTAGCATGTCTTAGCAGTTATGGCAGTTATGGTATACCAATTCTCCACATGTTTCCAGGAGGGTCTAGCTGGGCCCTCCAAGCGCACTGAGGCCCATGAGTGAAGGCCCAGGATCCAATCTGGAGAACAGGACCACCTCAGGAAGGAGGAACCAGTCTGCCACATCATTTTGCCCCTTGGCCCTCTTGGCAACTGATTGAAAAATCTTGAAATCATCTGGTTGGTGGTTGACCTACCCCTCTGAAAAATTATGAGTTCGTCAGTTGGGATGATTATCCCATATATTCTGGACAAATAAAAAACTGGTTGGTGATGGTTTGAACCGTCTTGAAAAATATTAGTCAATTGGGATTATTATTCCCAATATATGGAAAAATAAAATGTTCCAAACCACCAACCAGTGGTGGATGTTTCCAGGATTCCAAATTGGCGATACTCAAAGATTCTCAAAGGTTCTCCGATTAGATGAACTCAAATGTTCCCTGAGACGCGATTCACGCCCTCTGGAGACCATGCAATATATTCAATAGATGCAGAACGAAAGCCCTCTGCAGGGTTGGCAATGAATTCTTATGAATTGCTGAACCGCGACCCAGGCGCCGCTTCCCCATCCGGCAGCGCGTCGGAGGGGAGTTCCGTGCAGTCCTCCGCTGGCACATGGTCCTGTGGCGGATGCCGCCAGTGCCGATAGGAATGTGCAAAAACTGGTGGCTTAAGGGATCAGCATCCTATGCTTGGGATCACGAATCCGACCTATGGTTGAAACCAAGTTGTATCAAACATGCGTCATGCTTGAAAGCGGCTGAACAGTCCCATTCGGTGAGGCTCCCCCTCATCCCGTCCTTCACACGAGCCAAAAAGCCTTCCAAACCATCCGCCGGTGCACGAAAAACGCCTTGATTCCAGCGGAAGCAACGACTGCCCAGGGAAGCTGTGCCAAAACGTTGGTGGAATTGTGTTCATAAAAGCACCGCCATAGTAGTTGGGAACATCATCTATTAACCCCATGGTTCTTTCCTCGCCTTGGTTTGCTAAGGTTTCTGTGTTTACAGTCTGACCCTTGCTGAGTCTATTTTGGTGGTTCCAACCCAGCGCAAAAGCACAAAACCCTGGCATAAACGCTAGATTTTTGAAACCTAGAAGCTACAATGCTCTCTATAGAGTCTTTAGACATTCAATAGCGTTCATCTACCCATCTTTCGTCCTCTGTTAACATGTCCTGACACATTCCATCTCGTATCCGTCTCATCCAACCTGTTCATACAGGTGAAGGTTATCTGAATAAGCTATATATACCCTGAGGCTCTGTGACCACAAATAAGTAAAAAACGGCAATGTACCTAAAATACAGGGTCATCTCCGTAAAAGCCCAGATTCAAGGTCATTTGTCGGAATTTGTCGGAATTTGTCGGATTTGTGGGGTTTGAGGGTCTGATCTGGTAATATCAATGCCATTTCTGCTCTGACAAACATGTTTTCGTTGTCTTTTCAGACATCGCCGTACCAAACCGGACCAGTACTTCATCATTACTCTATTTCATTAACAAGGTTGCAATTTCGGGTGCATGGAATAGATATACTGACTACGTCTGACTACCTTATAATTAATGGATCATCCCGGGGTGTCCACCTTAAGTGCCTTATACTTATGTTGACTTATGTTCTTTAGTGGTATGAAGTAATATCAAACA